TAAATATCAGATTGTCTATCACTTTCCAAAAATTATGGTCCATTTTTTTCTTTACAATGATATATTATTACAACTTACATAAATCAGTTATTTTAAAATACTAATTTTGTTTTGTTTGAAGTAAGAAATAAGAAATGCAATTTGAGCTTCAGAATTAATCCAGTTGTGTGTGTAAAACAAGAATTTAGCTTAATTAAGAGCACAACATCTTGTTATAATGATGCTAAGGAATCAGTCTACAGTGTAATATACGAATGATCATGTAATCTGCTTGTATGATATTAAAGTAATATTAAATATTTCAGTCTTTCCTGTTCTTTCCATGTGAAAAGAACTATGAGGGGTGATTCATTACATTGGTTTTTAAAATCTACAACAGGAAGGAAATTAAGGCTGAAATTCTAATCCCGCTTACTCAAGAGTAAACCTCACAGAGTGCAGTGGGATTTATTTCTCATTGGCCGTGGGTAGGAATGCAGTCTTGGTGCACAGAGGCTGCCTTTGGGAACAAACACTTCAGAAAGAAGAAAAACGAATAGGCACCTGTGTACATCAATGGATATTTAAATAATGTATATTACAAAGCAGTTTCTGGATTCATAATGTGTTCATGTTTTTTCTCTTTTAAAAAAATGTTTTTTTGTATAAAATTGAGGCAAATAGTTTTCACAGGCAGAGTAGTTGTCGCAATGGGGATTGAATGGATGGACTGAAAGAAATTCACTTGTTAGTCTTCAGTGGATTTGTTAAGTTGTGGGTGAACATATCAGACGACACAGCGATTCTCCAAACAGCTCTTGTTTATTCACAGGCCAGAACAGAACTGAACTGAAGGGTTCAGCCAGCCTGCTTATATAGAGCTCCACTACAACGCAACTGTAACAGTTTCTGTAACTATCCAATCACTGAACGTCACTTTCAATCCCTTATTTGCATATGTGGACCTGAACTATCTACAGTATCCCTCTGCTGGCCCAGGGTGAGAACTTCAGTACATAACAGGATTCCTCTCATCCCTAAATTCATTTGGAAAGAGACATTCCTTTAAGTACCGAGCTCCCAAGCTATGCTATATTTACGAGCGGGACAAAATGAAAACAACTTGCTTACATTATAGGTCAGGAAAAGCTAGTGAGATCTTCAAATCCTGATTTTCCTGGATTAGAAAGTATATTGCCCATTAGACAAGTCCTGCAGGAAGCAGGAAGCAAACAGATCCACTTTAGGAGGGCTGTAGCAGCCTGTAGTGCTGGGGGAGAACAGTCCGAAATTTGGCTTAGCGTGTCATAAGCCAACTTTTGGTTTAGCATGGAAGAGTCGTATAAGGGGGTGGGTGGTAGCCAGGTAATAATAATAATAATAATAATAATAATAATAATAATAATAAATTTATTTATTTATACATACATACATACATACATACATACATACCCCGCCCATCTGGCTGGGTTTCCCCAGTCACTCTGGGTATTTTTTGCCCTGGGTGAAGCCTCCAGAGGGGCGCCATTGAGGCTCTCAGTCTGTGTCTGCGTTTAGGCAAATGCATGTGGAGGGTGCCAAACAGGGTCTTTGACCCGGGTGAAATAAAGCCTAGCTTTGCCCCTGGGCATGTTCACGTTCTCTCCTTGCTAACCACAAGCTGTAAAGGTAAAGGGACCCCTGACCATTAGGTCCAGTCGTGGCCAACTCTGGGGTTGCGGCCCTCATCTCGCTTTATTGGCCGAGGAAGCCGGCGTTTGTCCACAGACAGCTTCCGGGTCATGCGGCCAGCATGACTAAGCCACTTCTGGCGAACCAGAGCAGCGCACGGAAACGCTGTTTACCTTCCCGCCGGAGCGGTACCTCTTTATCTACTTGCACTTTGACGTGCTTTCGAACTGCTAGGTTGGCAGGAGCAGGGACCGAGCAACGGGAGCTCACCCCGTCGCGGGGATTCGAACTGCCGACCTTCTGATCGGCAAGTCCTAGGCTCTGTGGTTTAACCCACAGAGCCACCCGCGTCCCACCACAAGCTGTAGTCAAGAACAAACATGGGCTACAGGGAAAATACTTTAACAGCTGCTTCCTTGAGGTTTAGCTCTCTTTTCTTCCGTCTGCAGTAGTGTCAGCAGCGGTCTGATTCTGTTGACCTTCTGCTTGAGGATCTGCCCCCCCCCCTGCTGCTCACCTCCTTTTTTCTTGGGACCATCTATAAGCTTTCCTCTCTTGATTTCATTCATCAAGCGACACTGAGGCAAATGCTACATGTGGGTCTGATAGTGGGGCAGTTCAAACTAACAACTCTGGGGATACTCTAAAAGGCTCTGTTCCCCTCCTTTGAAGAGTCAGTTGTCCATTACCTCCACCAGCACTGCTTCTGATTTTCTCAAGGGGCTATGAGGATGTTTCCACATGGTCAGTTGTTCTGCTCTGCTAGGGATTTCTTTCTTTGTTTTGCAAGTCACTTTCCATTGGAAATTTTGTAAATAGGTTACAAAACCCCATTTATAAAAAATGTGGTGAATATGCATTTGAGTCTTTTCATGTACCAACAGGGATAAAACAATTACATTTGTATTGCAGAGGGCAGCTGGATCTGTGTTGAACTGGGCCAGGATCTGCAAAAAATAATCATCACTAGTATAAGATGCTATTCTAAATCCTTGATGTGGATCAAGGCAGGAATATAGCCTGCCTCTTGTATGTCCTTCACCTCCTACGGATTGTCAAGTTATGTGTTCAGCTGATGGCTCCTTCGTAAAAGGGAAATTTCCCTACGCAACAGCTACAGACTCCTTTCACTTGACTTACCGTTTGATCTTGCTGAAAACAACCTATTGGGGTCAACAGCTCTGTAGAAAGAGACATATTTAATTTACGACTAAAATGTGAACTCCCCCAGGGCGGCAGAGGAGGCTGCCGCCTACTCAAATCTATCGTCAGAGCTTTCTTCCTTTGCTTTTAAAGCTATAAACCTATTGGAAACATGTCGTGGGGGTGTCTAATATGCTAATGAACAACGTGGGTGGAAAAGCAGAAACTCTAGTACATCTAAAAATGTAACCCTGAATAAAGTGCAAATGAGTTTATTCTAAACTCCTTCAACTTGGTTGGCAGAATTTCAAAAGTGGGTGCATTTACAATATATATTTTTTTCCAAAAAAAAAAACCAACACCAAAAATTCCACTCAGAAATCTAGCTGTGTCTAGATCATTATTTGAGAAAACTCAGGTTTGATCCACAACCCTGCAGACATTACTCTCCCTACGCCAGTTCTTTTGCAGATAGCTAAGTCCTAGCAAACTAAGGCACAGGTGCAAGAGGGACTGTAGGGGAAGATGTCCAATTCTAGTATCTTCATGCAGAATCTTTAGGAACCTGCTGTGGAGCTACAAGTCTAGAATGGCCTCTTGTTCCTTTCTTACATGGAAAAGATGAAGCACCTTACTGAAACTTTCTCTATTGCCCGTATGCCTTTGCCATCCTGGGATGGAGTCACCTCACTGCCTGAACTTATTATTATGAGGTTAAAAAAAATAATAATTCAACAATTCATGGTGGGGATTGGGATTGTAAGGCCATTCACCCACAAACTGCATGGCTCTAATACATTCAGAGTGCTTTCTAGTTAAATAATAATGTTATGAGTTGTGGGGGGCAAGGGAGTAAGTTGTATGTCGAGACCCTTCTAATTCCTGGATCCAGCAAGTGTTAAAATCTAAGCAAGGCTTATTGAACTAGCCAGACAAGTATTGGTAATGGCCCTCTGAGAATGGGGCAATAAGGTTACAAAAGAAGAGGTCCATGCCAGATAGCAAATGGGTGGGCCATCCTCCCTCAACTCGCTGGTAGTGAGTTAGGAAAAGACAAAGGCCAGGACTGAGGGGTGGGTGGGTGTAAGCTAGAAGTTGGAGGAAGAAACAGGCTGTCTCCTGTGAAGGAGAGCAATGTCTGGTTTCTGCTCAAATCCAAGGCTGTGGCTATGGGTGAAGCAAAAGTCTTTTCTGGCTGCCTTTCCTGGGGGAAGAGAGCTGCACATGGGCATCAGCTTGAGCAAAGTCCAGAGAACCAAAACCCCGAGGGGCCACCGCTGCATGGACTCCAACACCACAGGTTCCTTCCTTGACGCCACCAACAAACTCAGTGGAGTCACCAGTCTCCACAAGGGAAAGGGCATCCCAATCGCATAATGTCCCACTGGGACCAAGCTTGGTCTGATGCCCTTAATAAAAGTGATGCGTTCGAGTTCTGATTACCACCCTAACCCAATAAAGAGAAAAGACCAAACCTGAATCTTTGCTACGTAAACTGTAACTGTGACATTGAAACCATCTATGAATGTCATCCGTCTGCCTTCCAAACAGGAGTTCACCTCCACCATTAAATCCATTTACATTGTAAAGCAGGCTTCCTCAACCTTGGCCCTCCAGATGTTTTTGGCCTACAACTCCCATGATCCCTAGCTAGCAGGACCAGTGGCCAGGAATGCTGGGAATTGTAGTCTCAAAACATCTGGAGGGCCGAGGTTGAGGAAGCCTGTTGTAAAGGGGGGAAAAGAACGTAAAATAGATTTCACAACACATCGGAATGTCAGTTCTTGGACCCGATTGTTTCTCTCCTGAATTATGTATTATGTATTTTGTGTTTTTCTCAACTGAACTGCCTGAGATCTACGGATGAGGTGCTAAATAAATAAATAAGGATAGACTCTCATAGATTTGGCATGAACTCTATTAAAAAACCTGGGGATCTAAATACCAGTCCAGATTTCCTGTTCACTGCTGGTTATTCTGGAGTATGACAAATAATGGAAAGGCATGGAAACTTTGGGCAAATATTAATCAGTCCAAATGGGAACTAAGAGGATGTGGCATATTTAGGCCTACTTTTTGTGTGTGCTTTCCCTGAAATGTTTCTGAAACCAATATTTACCTCAGTACACAAACACATTACTTATTAACATTGCTGAACGAGTGATTGCTTAAAAAGTCAAACATACTCTCTAACGCAGGGGGTTTCCATAAGCCCCAATGTTGATTAGACTTCCCACTCTGGATTTTCAGACCCTGGAAGGCCCACTCCTCCAGGAAAATTACAGGGAGTTGTAAAAGAAGAAAAGAAAAGAGAAATAAAAAGGTGAAATATGAAAGTCTACATTTGCTCCATGGTTGTTACCCTCTCTTTGTCTTTAAGCAGTGCTCCTGAGCGAATGGTAAGTGTGCCTCTTCATCTTCTTCCCACAACATTATCATAAACCTGATTGTTTAGAAGTATGCCCCACCAATATTTAAAGAACATACTCCTTAGTAAATGTGCTGTAAATGTCCGAAAACCGAAAGGTGTTTTGGCACTGGTGTACACTGCATTTAAAAAGTGCAACAAAGAACCTTAAGCATGGCTGCCCTGAAACTGGAGGCCAGAGCATAGACTCAAGGAGGACTTTCATAGAATTGTAGAGTTGTAGATGACCTGAGGGTCACCTAGTCCAACCCCCTGCAGTGCAGGAATGTCAGCTATAGCATCCTTTGCACACCTTCCAGTTTGTCACTATCCTTCTTAAATTGTGGTGCCCAGAACTGGACACAGTAATCCAGGCGGAGGCTGACCAAGGCAGAAGAGAGCAGGACTATTACTTCCCTTGATGCTATTCTTCATGCAAATAATAATAATAATAATAATAATAATAATAATAATAATAATAATAATATATTATTTATACCCCGCCCATCTGGGTGGGTTTCCCCAGCCACTCTGGGCGGCTTCCAACTGAATATTAAAAACAGTACAGCATCAAACATTAAAAACTTCCCTAAAGAGGGCTGCCTTCAGATGACTTTTAAAAGCAAAATAGTTGTTTATTGCTTTGACATCTGCTGGGAGGGCGTTCCACAGGGCAGGTGCAACTACCGAGAAGGCCCTAGAATAATATTAGCTTTTTTTTGCCACTGTATCCCCCTGTCGACTCATGTTAAGATTGTGGCCTACTAAGACCCTTATCACTTGTACTACTGGCAAGCAAGGTGCCCCCCATCTTATATTTGTGCAGTTGTTTGTTTGTGCCTAAGTGTATAAGATTTGCCCCTATTGAAATTCATTTTGTTAGTTTGGGCTCAGTTCCCCAATCTGTAAATGTCATCTTGAATCCTCGTTCTGCCTTCTGTGGCATTTGCCATCCCTTCTTGTTCGGTGTCATGTGCAAATTATAGGATCATCCCCTCAAATCCTTCATCCACGTCTTTATATAGAAGTTGAACAGGGCTTCCAACTGCAGGGCATTCCCAAATGTATTAATAGGCCTATTGCAAGGTTTATGTCTGTGAGAGAAAGGCAGAAACTAAAAGGGTTGCTGCCTCGGTGCCTCAGGTGATTGAGTTGTTTTTAAAAGGCAATCCCTGGCTGCTCTTCTGCCAATAGGAACTTTGTATTGAGAAAATCCTCTATAAAAGCAAACTTGTTCTTCATTGTTTTATTTGTAGGAAGGAAGGAACAGTTCTGGTACTGAGCCAGGAGAATCCAGACATGAAGTTCATCACTCCAGAGGTACCAAAGATGCTTTAATGTGCCTCCCAAACAAACTAAGCCTTCCTTCCTTCCTTCCTTCCTTCCTTCCTTCCTTCCTTCCCTAGCTTGTTTTCACAGCATGTAAAATTGCTCGCTGGACGGCTTCCAAGATGGATTCCAAGATGTGATTCCAAAGGTTATTTCCATGATCCAGCTGAATTGATACGGCAAACTGGTTGCACCTGAGGCTGGATTCTCAGGGAGAGCCATCCTGCTTAGTTATCACAATATGAGAAGGGGGGGTCAGCAACCTTGCCTTCCTTGCCACAAGGTGGCACCCCAAGACCTCGCAGGGCTGGGAAGGTGACCTCCTCACTGCTTCTACTCTGCAGCACCTCTGACTGGGCTGAGGAGGTCTTCAATTCACTTGAGGTGCTTGCATTCCTCAGTTCTGCTCCCAGCTTTGATTCTCCCACATTATTCATGGCTATGGAAATGGATAGTCTCTCTGCTTCTAGGAACCTCATGGTGGTGGGCAACATATGCCCAATATACTGCAGTCCCTCCAATATAATGAACTTCCTACTGTCATTTACTCACTAGAAAAATATTAGGGTTCATCATTTATGCTCTTGGAGGTCGGAGGCAGCATACTTCTGAACCCGCATTGCTGGGAACCAGGGCCGTGCAGAGAGGAGGGGGCACCCAGAGGGCACGGATAGAGCGCCAGGGACCGGCTGCTTTTTTGAGTTTATACTTTATTCTAACAAGACTCCTACCCAGGGACGTAGGAAGGAGGGTGTGGGGGTGCGGTCTGCCCTGGATGTCATCCTTGGGGGGTCGGCACTTACCTGCAGGGCGCCTGAGCCACACGTCTCTCTTGGGAGTGACGCAATGGCTCAGGGTCCTGCAATGCCCGAAACAGCAGCGTGGGGCTTGCGTCCGCCAGGCAGACTCCGTGGGCAGTTCACTGAGCCACCCCCCCCCGGGCGGATCGCCACACCCCCCCAGACGGATTGCCGTGCTGCCCCTGTGCAGCAGCCCCATGCGTGGATTGCCACAGCGCCCCTGTGGGCAGCTCGCCCTGCCTCCACCGCTCCGGGTGCCGGAGCAGCTAGCTGCACCCCTGCTCCTACCCTGGCCTCAGACAAGCTCCACATGGGCCTGCTGGGAACTGCAGAAGGGGAGAAGGTCCTGTTTGCAGGTTTCCCACAGGCACCTGGTTGGTCATGGTGATGGACCAGATGGCCTGGAGGCAGGAACATCTTCATATGCACTCCAGCAATGTTTTTTTAAATTGAATGAATGAATGAATGAATGAATGAATGAATGAATGAATAGGCTTAATGTGCTCTTTTGCATTTTTTTAAAACTGCAGAAAAATGCTTTGATGAAACTCTGCATGAATATTTTGCAACTGGAGAAAGCTGGGCAAGAATCTACCAAGGGATAGTGCAGAAATGCACATGCGCTAACAACCTAATTAACTGCCAATATGCACAGCACACAGGTATTTCTATACTGTATGCTTTATTTTAGTATGTTTGCTAATCTGTTTATATGTAGTCCAGTGAAATGATAAAACAAATAAATGATTGAGACACAGAAGTTGAATTGCATTCAATAATGCATAGAGTAGTGAAGAAGTCATACTCTCAGCCTTAAATCACTTACAGCAATTAAAAGGTATGAATCTTAAAATGTAATCTGTGAAGTGGCTGCATGATAGTAGTAATTTCAAGTATTCTCTTAAATTTCCTGAAAGGATTTTATCTTCTTCACCTCCTTTTCAGTTTTCAAATCCTTAATAATTTACCCTAACTGTACTGGACTTTCTGGATAATGTGCTGCTCACAGGTTGAATTTGACCGAAAGTTCTAAAAGTTATTCAACAATTTAAGTGGTTTTGTACCAGATCATGGGCACCACTTGAGAATAGTTGGTGGTCCTGCCTTCACAAATGAATTTCTCAAGGCACAATCATTTTTGTATCGTTTTTCGCACACCCTGCCTCTGCCCTGCTCCATACATGGGAGCCCCATGGCGTTGCTTCCATTGGCAGCCTCCCTATGTTTGAAGAGCTGCCCCTTGGGAAGGTGGCATCCGCCCAATGGGCAGGAGGAGGTGCTGGGTGGGCCATCTCCTGGGTTTATATTTCCTCACTCGGCTCCCCACCCAAGCCACAGTCACTTTAAAAAGGCTGCAGGGGGAAGTGGTTCTTTCTCCCTCTTGACAAAGTGGGGAAGGATCATTGGTGCTATGGAGAGTGGGAAGAAGAAAGAGAGGCTTTAAAGCCCCTTTCTGAACTGCAGCACCAGCTTCCTCGCCTGCAAGAAATGCTGTGCACTTTCTCCTCTCTTTTCAAATTTTTTTAGGAAATTGCACATCCTGCTGATTGCCTCTGTTAAGTGGCTGTTTCAGTCACTTTAGGACAGACACTCTGCAATGTGTATGTGTTTGTGGGGGGAGACAGTGGGATCACAAGGGGGGCAGGGGGCGGTGCACCCCAGGTGCCATGTCTGGAGGGGTGACAAGAAGGCACCCCGTGTGTTGCTCGCCCCACCACCCCGGGCGCGGCGGTTTGAGAAGCCATTGTGCCGCCGCAACCGCATGTGGAGGATCCTCTGTTCGCAGCTGCAGCCGCAAGCATAGGATCCCACCACCGTCCATACGCCGTTCAAGCGGCGCCGGCAACAAACCGCTACGTACAACGCATGCACGGTGTCACACGCATGCACTGTACATAGTGGTTTGTCACTGGCACTGCCCAATCAGAGGATCGGTCCACTGCCGCTGCAGCCGTGAGCAGAGGATCCTGCCACTGTCCGTACGATGTTCAGGTGGCGCCAGCAGCAAACCGCTATGTACAACACATGTGCGGTGTCACACGCATGCATTGTACGTAGCGACGCCACACATGCACCCTACGTAGCGACGCCATGCATGCATCGTATGTAGTGACACCACACATGCATCATATGCAGCGGCGCAACGCGCGTGCAGCCAGCGGTTTCCCCCGCTCCAGGTGTTGGTTAGCCTTCGTTCACCCCAGATGGGGGGGGGTAGAGGAGACTAAGTAGTACAGCGGAATTGTGTGCCTGAAATAGGGGTTGCGGGTTGCTGCCGCTGCTGCTGCTCCCCATAAGCAGTGTGTGCATGTGTATGCATATGCGTACAGAGCTTTGTGTGTGCCCACATGGAGGGCACTGCTGCTTTCTGGCTGGTGGTGAGGAAAATATGGTGGGGGGTGGGAAAGGCCTACGTGAATCACGCTGAGCTCCTTGGGAGGAAAAGCAAGCTTATAAACGTGAATATTAAATTAAAATGGGGTGAGCGGAGTAGGAGAGGGGGGAAATATTTTGTTAAAGTCATCCTGTGTACACACACACACACACACACAGAGAGAGAGAGAGAGAGAGAGAGAGTGGTACCTCGGTTTACGGACTTAATCCGTTCTGGAAGTCCGTTCTTAAATCAAAGCCATTCTTAAACCAAGGCGCACTTTCCCTAATGAGGCCTCCTGTCACCGGTGCCCTTCCATCATTCAGCTTCTGTTTGTAGACCAAGGTAAAGTTTGCAAACCGGGACACTACTTCCAGTTTTGCTGAATTCGTATACCAAATAATTCATAAACAGGGCTGCTCTTCAACCGAGGTACCAATGTATTGTTTTGGTGTGTTCCTGGTCAGTCATGGTGCAGCCACTGAAAGTCACAGAGCTTCCTCCTCCCTCAGATTCTTATACCTGAGTCTTTTGGATTTTTAAAGTATTTTTCATGAAGGAGATTATTCTATTCCAGTTAGAATTCAGCTGACATTAAATATCTCAATCTCTATATGTATTCTGTGAGACTCTGGGGATAATATGGAGTTGGTCCAGTTTTAATTTGCCTTTGGATTTTCCTACTAGTAATGTGCGCCCCAGCATTTACCACAAAAACACTTTAGTCCATTTCTGTGGGTACTGTGTGCATGTTAAGGCTTACCTTCCAGGCAGAGGTTCACATGTTAATGCTCTGTGTCCAAGCATCCTTTTTCTTGCTCTGGAGCTTTAAAACCCGCTCTTTAAAGGTGAATCGTAGTAAACGTCAATTCAGGTTTTCCATGGATTGACATTTGCCCCAGCTGAACTTTAAAGAGCGAAAAGAGAGAGTCCGCTCAGACACAGAACTTTAAATTGCATCCACGCTCAGAAAGAGCCGAGGAAAGGTAAGTGTGGACAAACCTTTAACTGGAGCAAACATCAATTCAGAAAACCTGAATTGACATTTGCTCCGATTCAGCTTTAAAGAGCGAGTTTTTTGGGGGGAAACTGGGGTGGGGGGTAGGAAATGCTTGGACACAGAGCGTTAAGGTGCAGGCTGCTGCCTGGACAGAGCAGGGCTAAAGGTCAGTGTGGATAAGTCCTCTGCTTCACCTTGCAGGCTGCACTGTCAATCCATGCCCCCATGGCAGTACTTGCAAGAAGATCGTCTTCACTAACGAAACAGTCTGTGACTGCAAAACACCCTGGGCAGGAAGACATTGCAATGTTGGTGAGTTGTATTCAACTTTCACTCAGTTTGGATCTTTGGCTTATTTCCTTCCACAGAATTTAGGCCTCATTCACCGAGGCTTATGCTATAGCCAGGACCCTTCTATGAGGTATTCATAAATTTTGTTTTGGAATTTGATAAACAGCTCCCTGCTCCTTGATGCTTGATTCCCAGAGCTGAATGGACTAGATTTAGAATTATTGGAACTCTGGACTCTTGCTGCCCTTTCTTGTGGCACAGCTTGTCTGTCAATATGGGCATTTTATTTACTCATGTTTATTTTTAGGCTGCTTTACAAGAGCCTTTATCTGCTCTGACTTCTCAACATGGCTTACAATATAGTATTTAAAACCTACCAAGCAGGGCCACTGATGCATAGTCAAGTCCATTTAACTAACCTGACTCTAAACCATTTAGGGCTTTAGAAGCCAAAACCAGGACTTTGAATTGGGCCCAGGAGCATCCTGACAACCTGTGCAACTGGTATAGAGTTTATGTGATATGCTTTGACTAACCTGGCAAGCACCTTGAGCAGCTGGATTCTGTACCAGTTAAAGTTCCCAAGTTCTGTTCAAAGGCAGCCCTATGTAGTCTGTCCTAATGCATGCATGCCTATGGCAAGGTCTACCTTTTCTAGTGTTAGGAGAGCTTGCAGCTCAAGTGAATGAGATTGAAATTATCACTTATGTTTTTGGAGTTCAAAGGCTTTATTCATGCAGGAAAAGATTTATCTTGAAAGGAACTACTTACAGAATCAGAGTTGAAAGAGAGAGAGATAGCAGACTTTTGTCTCAAGCTGGGAGAGAAAAAAACAAAATGACTAAGCTTTTAGGGGCAGAGTTAACTTGGACAGGTAGGCTACAAGGAAAGGTTGGCTAGATTACTAGACAAACAGTCTAGTGGATGGCAGGAGGTGGGGTGGGGACTGGGGTGGGGTGGGCAGCAGCCATGCCTTCCCCACTCCTCATAGGGTTGACTTCTAGAACTATCCCATATGTCCAACCTTGTCAGATGGTCTAGAAACTGGATTAGGTTGGATCCAAATCACCCCTCTTTGCCACCAAGCCAACAACTTCATGCTTTTTCTACAGTCTGGTGGACAAAATAGCAACTGATTAGGCTGGGCAAGGAGTCTAGCTAGATAACCAGATATTTGCTTCTTACAATGACCACTTTACTCTTCATACACTGTGTTGGGCCATCACATTTAACCTGCTTTTTCAGCACCTTAGCTGACACAGTTGCTCTCCCTTTGGCTATCTTCTAAACCCCTGCTGTAAAGAGGGCCAAAAAGCAGAGGAGAACCCACTACCACCACGGCCCAAGCTGCCCTGAAGTCCTTGTAGTTTCATTGTCATATTCATTGTTCATCCACAAAAGATCATTAAAAATAATAATAATTAAATATTGTGCAGATGATGTGAAACTTTGCAGATAAGAAACTGCAGCTCTTATTATTTACCACTAGGTGGCAAAATCCAGCAGAATTTAATGCTTTAAAGGGGGGAAAAGACTAATAACAGCTGCAAGAACAGAGATACATTTTAAGGCAAACATGGTGAAATAAAACTGCTCAATTCTCAGAGTTTGCTAAATACTCAACAAAGCAACAGAACTACACCATGCTTGCCATTCATAGTTCTTCAGACATATTGCAAAAGAAGAGAGTGGGTCATAGGTTTCAGCTGGGGCTGATAACATCGGCATCACCTTTCCTTGGGCAGTCAGGTGTGCTTATAGTGAGAACAGGATCCATTCTATCCAAGCTGTATACTGTACACAAGTGGTTCTGCCCTGGGAAATGTAGCTTCACCAAGGGCTGATGCAATGTGAAGGCAATGATGCTCTCTCCCAGTGGCCTACAGCCAGGTCCACCATCAACAGTGGTGGCCTAGAAAATAGAGCTGAAAGGAGAAGATGGCTGGAGAAATCAGGGTGTGGTGAAGAGGGGGTAGATGGGGCTAGGGTCACATTGAGATGTGGGGGGTGGGGTAGGACAAATTTGGATCACCTCAATATTCCGAAATGTTTCCCAGTTTTTCTAGAAGCAGCTTGGGTCATTTCCAACACAAGCTGCCTTATCACTCAGTGGTGTAGCATGGGAGGTCAGGGGGGCTGTTGCCCTGGGCACAAAGTTGGGGGGGGCAAAATTCCAAAAGAAAAACAAACCACTCTGAGGGTTTGTTTCTTTTTTTAAAAAAAACAACCAAGTGATATAAAAATGTTAAAATAATAATAATAATAATAATAATAATAATAATAATAATAATGGCTGCAGCCACTGTCTCCTCCCCTTTCCTTGCAGGGAAGATACTTCCCCACCACCACCACCACTGCCTCCATCCAGCCCTGACAGGAACCACGGGTTAGAGGGCGCAATACTTGCCTTTCCTTGGGTACTGGCAAACCACGCTATGCCACTGTTATCACTATTGGTTAGTCATGAATAATGTGTAGACCAGCTGCCCATATGGACCAAGAGAGAACCAGTGGCTGGAGTGTTGGGCTAGGAAGTGGGAGACCAAGGTTAAAATAGCCATAAAGCTCACTGCCGAACTTGAGCCACTCACTATCTCCCAGCCTGACTTACCTCACAGGACTGTTGTCATGACAAAATGCAGAGAGAGAGATCACTGCACGCCACCTGGAGCTCCTTGGAAGAATGGCAGGATATAAAAGTAGTACACAAACACACGTGTGTGTGTGTAAATAATAAGTGGATAGGTAAAAGGTAAATAGGCAGTGCTTTTTTTCTGTAAAAAATGTTTAGGGGTACTCTCATTTTCCTACTCATATTGAAATACTGCCCCTCAATGAGTTCAAACTTAGATTCACACAATGTTTAGGGGTATGCGTACCCCTGCGTCCTCCCAGAAAAAAAGCACTGTAAATAGGTAAAGGACCCCTGGACATAGTCAATGGCGACTATGGGGTGTGGCACTCATCTTGCTTTTCAGGCCGAGGGAGCCGACATTTTTCCACAGACAGCTTTCCAGGGTCATGTGGCCAGCATGACTAAACTTCTTCTGGCGCAACGGAACACCGTGACAGAAACCAGAGCGCACAGAAACACGGTTTACCTTCTCGCCACAGCGGTACCTATTTATCTACTTGCACTGGTGTGCTTTCGAACTGCTAGGTTGGCAGAAGCTGGGACTGAGCAACGGGAGCTCACCCCATTGTCGGGATTCGAATTGCCGACCCAAGAGGCTCAGTGGTTTAGACCACAGCGCCACCCTCTCCCTCACAGAAATAAGTGGATGTTATGCTAGCAGATGTTTACTTAAGACTTCTGTATGTTTATCCAGGTCCTAGCCAACATTGCTATTCTGGTAATGGGACAGACTACAGGGGCATTGAGAAAAAGACAATTTCTGGAGATAATTGTCTGCCATGGAATTACAAAGCTATGACAAATTGAAGGATAAAGTACAAAACTGGCTTCAATACTACCAAGTAATGGAGCTTTTCAAACAGGACAGGAAAATTGGCTTTCAAGTGGATAAATCAAAACTAGAAATTGAACTGTTAGAACCCAACACTAAGAATTTGTCAAGAATGTATAATTTGTTGCTGAAATGGAATACACAGGATGAAACGGTGAAATCAGCCATGATTAAATGGGCACAAGATATTGGTCATGACATTATGTTTGCCGACTGGGAACAGTTATGGACCACCGGTGTTAAGTTTACGGCATGTAATGCCTTAAGAGAAAACATAATGAAAATGATTTACAGGTGGTACATGACCCCAGTCAAGCTGGCAAAAATTTATCATTTGCCCGATAACAAATGTTGGAAGTGTAAAGAGACTGAAGGTACCTTCTATCACCTTTGGTGGACATGCCCGAAGATTAAGGCCTTCTGGGAAATGATCTATAATGAAATCAAAAAGGTACTCAAATGTACCTTCGCGAAAAAACCAGAGGCCTTTCTCTTGGGCATTGTCGGCCAATTGGTGACAAAGGGGGATAGAACTTTCTTTATGTATGCTACAACAGCAGCAAGAATACTCATCGCAAAGTATTGGAAGACCCAAGATCTACCCACTTTGGAAGAATGGCAGATGAAAGTGATGGACTATATGACATTGGCCGAGATGACAGGCAGAATCCGTGACCAACGAAAAGAGACGGTGGAAGAAGAATGGAGAAAATTTAAAAGTTATCTTAAGGACTACTATAAACTTAATGAATGCTAAAATGTTGCGGTTCTCAGAAATAAAGGGATACAGGGATATAAGGTTAGAAATTTAAAAAAAGAACTAAGAAGATAGAGATTGGAAAATAACAATTGGGAGTTGCTAGTGGAACTTTGGACACTGGGATGCAGAGAGGGGGGGTATGGGGAAGTCAAAGGAAAGAAGTTTATGAAAATGTGTTTGAAACTGTACGTGTGTGTTTGTCATTTTTGGTGTTTGTTTGTTTTTTTGTTTAAAAAGTTTCTAAAACCAATAAAAATTTTATAAAAAAAAAAAAAAAAAAAGCACTGTAAATAGGTAAAGGACCCCTGGACATAGTCAATGGCGACTATGGGGTGTGGCACTCATCTTGCTTTTCAGGCCGAGGGAGCCGACATTTTTCCACAGACAGCTTTCCAGGGTCATGTGGCCAGCATGACTAAACTTCTTCTGGCGCAACGGAACACCGTGACAGAAACCAGAGCGCACAGAAACACGGTTTACCTTCTCGCCACAGCGGTACCTATTTATCTACTTGCACTGGTGTGCTTTCGAACTGCTAGGTTGGCAGAAGCTGGGACTGAGCAACGGGAGCTCACCCCATTGTCGGGATTCGAATTGCCGACCCAAGAGGCTCAGTGGTTTAGACCACAGCGCCACCCTCTCCCTCACAGAAATAAGTGGATGTTATGCTAGCAGATGTTTACTTAAGACTTCTGTATGTTTATCCAGGTCCTAGCCAACATTGCTATTCTGGTAATGGGACAGACTACAGGGGCATTGAGAAAAAGACAATTTCTGGAGATAATTGTCTGCCATGGAATTCAGATCTCCTTTACCAAGAGCTTCATGCTGACTTAGTTGAAAACCCTGTGCAACTGGGACTGGGACCACATTCATACTGCCGGTAAGAAAATTAGCTGGTAGATAGAGGAAAATACAAGTAAAAATGAGACATTTGTGGGTTACACCCTGGTTCTCACCCCAGTGACTCTCTGATCGCATGCATATACACACATGCACACATATTCTTCTCTACTTTGATAGATGTGCGGTATTGTGTGTTAGCAAAGCCACTGGAATGATGCAGACACAATCCAGAGAGAAATTTGGGTTTAGAACTGAAGGTATATGAAGAAAACCCAAACTTGCATAAGAGGGGGAAATGGTGGGGTTAGTGACAAAAGCAATGTTCACCAAACATTAAGGGGCAAATGTTTTTCCTTCCCCACTGCGTTAGAAACCCAGATGAAGACAAGGAGCCATGGTGCTACACAGTCAAAGAAAACTCAGTATCTTGGGAATACTGCAATGTTACTTTATGTCGTAAGTAACATTTTGCATCCATGGGGCTTTTTGAAGTTAGCATAAGCAAAGGAAGAAGTGAAATTAGTAAATGTAAGGGAGGAACAAGTCTCTTTCCCCTTCCATATACAGGTCATGTGCCATTTCTTATGTTTAAGGTCAGAATGTTCTGGAGCAGATAACAGCTGGTACAACAGCTCCCTAGATAGTCCTGTCTGTCTCCCCCAGCCCAGCCCAGTATATGCCTCCCCTTCCTCTCCAGACCAAGTTCTGCTGCTGTGCTGTAAAGATGAATCCTTAAAGACTTCTGTGCCCACTGTGTCAGTTCTCATGCAAGGCTGACTTGGGGCATTCAGCCTGCCCAAGTTCTGCTCCAGGGGAAGGACCGAGAGACGAAGAGACGGATTTGTATAATGTTGTGTGCGCATGATGTGGCTCTGAAGGACTGGGGTGCATCTGGCTGATAAGTGCTTGAGTTTGAGACCCTATTCACTAGTATGAATAAAATGGCCCAATACAACCCAAGTCCAGCAACAAAGGAACATATCACTACAGGGAAGGGAAGAACAGTGCTAACATCAAAGGCTGAACTAGGAATGACATAAGCAGGGTGATTCTACCCCTCCTATGCAGTTTCGGACTCTGATATTAGTGGGATAGCATCAGGTTGAGCAGCAAGCCGGAAACGCCCAGAATGAGAAGATGCAGCCTAAACTAAGCTGCTCCACTTCTGCTACGCCACTCTGAAGATGCCATAATCAGAAAAGAGCTCTTTGCCTTGTAATCATATTCCGTAGCTATTTAAAGTAAATAGTAAAGGTTCAGTAGTAAAAATGGGTAAAAGATTAAATATATCTGTTCTTCACTCAGGGAGCAGAAGAAGGCGGCCGCCACCCCCACCCCCACCCCCGGAAACTTTTGATGACTTTGCCGTGGTCCAGAACTTATGTGGGAGAAGACATAAGAAGCGAAACTTCCTAAGACCCAGAATTATAGGAGGATCTTCCTCCTTACCAGGATCACATCCCTGGCTGGCCAGCATATACGTTGGGAAAAATTTCTGTGCTGGAAGCCTACTTCGTTCTTGTTGGGTGGTGACAGCTGCACATTGTTTTGCTGATAGGTATGCTATCAAAGTATGCTTTGATTTCATCTGAAATTCACTGCACGTGCCTCAAACTGCTTTTAAATCAAACAAAATGTTTCATGTGACACCCCTGAGCAAAGATGGAATGAAGTTTGAGCCAAGAATCCCTAATGCTCAGAACCTCTAGACGCAGGCAGGCCCTGGGAAGCAATAATACAAAGATAAGGCTTCTTAGCCTGTGCACTAGCCTGCAGGTATCACAAAGACTGTAAAGGAATTGTGTTTTATATAATGGGACTCTCAGAACTTTTTATATTTTGAAACAGCATTTAGCAGTTTGGAACAGCAAGCATAAATAAAAAGCAATTCCCAGAAGGTGCAGCTGATGTTATATTAAAGAAGCAATGCCAGGAATATAGCGAAACCCAACTCCCATCTATCAGAGAGGGGGGGACTGAAACTGGCTGGCAGCTGGATCCTTATTTTCCCCACCCTCTGTGGCCCAGTTTGACAAGTATGGTGTGCATCACTTTGGAGTCCCAACAAACCGCTGATTGCCAGGACTTTAAAGCTCCTTTCAGGGCTCTCTGCTGATCACCAGGGGAACAGCTGATTGTCAGAGATGTGTGTGCATTGCTTTGAAACTCTGATGCTTCAAAGTGCCACACGCAGCTCTCTGTAAGCTCCAATGATCTCATGAACAATGGGGCTTCCAAAGAGCAATGTTGGGTGCTATGCACAGGGCTTTACGGATACAACCCCACTTTTGACCCAGTCATGTCTTTATCTGCTGCATACCTGACGTTACATCTTCTACAGTTTAAATCTAGAATCATAGTAAAGTTGGAAGGGAGCCCAAAGGTCATGTAGTCCAACACCCTACAATGCAGGAACCTCTGCTAAAGCATTCATGGCAGATGGTCATCCAACCTTTGCTTAAAGGAGAGTCCACCACTGTCTGACGAAGTCTGTTCCACTGTCGAACAGCTCTTACCATCAGAAAATTCTTTCTGATGTTTAATTTGCATCTCCTTTCTTGTAACATGAAGCCATTGGCTTGGATCTTACCATTTGGAGCAGAAGAAAACAAGTTTGCTCCATCTTTCATGTGACAGCCCTTGAGACATCTGAAAATGGCTCAGATATCTCCTCTTCGTCTCCTCTTTCCCAGACTAAACGTACCCAACTCCCTCAACCATTCCTCATAAGCCTTGGTTTCTAGACCCTTTATCTTCATGGTCACCCTACTCTGCATACAATCCTGCTTGTCAATATCCTTCTTAAATTGTGGTGCCTAGAACTGGACACAGTACTCCAGGTGTGGTTTGACCAAGGCAGAATAGAGCTGGACTATTACTTCCATGGATTCTATACTTCTGTTGATGCAGCCTAGTATAGAATTAGCTTTTTTGCTGCTGCATCACATTGTTGACTCATGTTAAGCTTGCAGCCTGCTAAGATCCCTGGACACTTTTCACATGTACTACTGGCAAGCCAGGTGTCCCCCACCTTATATTTGTGCAGCTGGTTTTTCATGCCTCGTTCTCCAATCTGTCAAGGTCATATTGAATCCCCATTGTGTCTTCTGCAGCATTAGCTATCTCTCCCAGTTTGGTGTCATAGAATTGTAGAGTTGGAAGGGACCCTGAGGATCATCAGCAAATTGGATGAGCATCACCTCAAGTCCTTCATCCAAGTCTTTATGAAGACGCTGAACAACAATGGGCCCAGGACCAAACCCTGAAGCCCCACTTGTCACTTTTTCCCAATATGCTGAGGAACCATTTGTAAACACTCTTTGGGTTTGGCCAGTCAACCAGCTACAATCCACCTAACAATTACCTCATCCGGCCCACATTTCACCAGCTTCTCCACCAGAATATCATGGGGGACTTGAAATCAAGAAACGCTATGTCTGCACCATTGCCCTGATCCACCAATCCTGTAACTCTATCAAAAAAAGAAATGAGATTGTTTCTTAGTAATCACAGCATCCTTTACTAAGTGCCCACAGACTGACCATTTAATTATCTGTTCCAGGACCTTTTCTGGAATCAGTGTCAAGCTGACTGGTTGGTATTTATTTACCTGGGTCCTCTTTTTTCCTCTTATTGAAGTTGGGGACAACTTTTGCCTGCTTCCACTCTGCAGGAACCTAATCTGTTCTCCAATATTTCTTAAAGATTATAGACAGAAATTCTTAGATTACATCTGCAAGCTCCTTTAGTACCCCTGAGTGTAGTGCGCCATGCCCTGGAGAGTTCTACATTTCAAGTAGCTAGGTGTTCTTTTCCTATCTGGGGCTGCAGCTCCCTCCTTGCAACGTGTATTCTGTTGAGTACTGCTTTCTTTTGGGTTAAGACAGAGGCAAAGAAGGTGTTGAGCAGTTCCACATTCTCTTTGTCATCCTATAGCATGTCTCTGTCTTCTCCATGCAGAGGAAGTACTACTTGCTTGTTCTTCCTGTTGATTCAGACATAGCCAAAGCACCTTTCTTGCAACTGTTGGCTTCCACAGTGAGGGGCAACCCATCTCTTGCCAGAAGTCCTCCCTCAAGGAAGTGGAGACCATGGTCCAAGAAGCCAAATCCTTATTGACAACACCAACTGCACAGTCAGTGGTTTACTTCTAGGATTTACTTCTCTCTTCCTGGGTCACATCCTTCAACAGGAAGCGGAGGTGAAAAAGGCACCTGTGCCCCAAGGCCCATCAGCTTCCTGCCCAGAGTCTTACGGTCCCTTGCTATAAGTTACAGACTGTGGCTGGCAATCTCATTTGCATCCACATGAATCAGAAGGAATCAGTGTGGCACATCCTCACTAGTTCAGCAGCCCAATGGCAGAACTAAATCCACAGGATGGAAGCAAAGGTTATGTCAAACCAAGGTCACTTCCAGGTAACCCATTTACTGAGCATTCCTCCCAGTTTGTTTGTGAGGAGGTGATACAACATTGTGTTAAGCAGTTGCTATTCTGAATTTCCCCCTTCATTTTCCTTACAACAAAATGTTTTTTGGAAGCAAGTTTCTTGTGTTACCAAATGGCTGTCATGCCCATTTCTGCTATTCCTTCTGCTGCTGCTGGGCTACTGCCTAAGTTTCAGATGGCTTATAGCATCACGACTACAACTCACAACGTTACATTGGCACCCTGACACCCCAATCAAAATGTTATTTAAATATTATAATACAATAATATTCTGTTCCTTACCTATAGGAAGGAAGGAAGTGTATTTGTTAAGGTCATAACAAAATCATTCAAATATACAGATAAATAAGAATAAAATATTTAAAATGCATCATGTAGCTTAATACCATCATTCTCTTCATCATTTTCTTTCCTCTTTTCTTCAGTCCGCTGAGGTCAACAATTCGAATTGTTTTGGGACAACATTTTTTTAATATGACAACAGCTGTTACTCAAGAATTTGATGTGGAGAAGTACTTCATGCACCCTGACTTCACAGTATACAACCCAACTGAAAATGATATAGGTGAGCCTTTTTCCTCTTTCTGGTTTAGTTTTAAGTGTGTGGATTGAGATGCAGCCAAGTGGGCAGTGATATTGCCATATCTTCCACCCATCAGACACCGGAAGTGTAGCTCTGGCTCCCTGTGCCTGCCAGACTGAACTGCAGGCGTCGTCCTCAATAGGGCAATCCACTCCTCTAAAGTTTGGGCAGATCAGAATGGATGTGCTCTCCTTGCTGCAGAAAGCTTTTGATAAAAACCAGAACTTTATGATTCCACCCATTCCTAGTGGCAAAGTGCTTTTTTGAACAAAGGTGAGAGGCCCAAAAAAAGGAGTACCTGAAATCTCAGCTCTTCACTCGCAGGGCTGGGTCATCTGCGTGTGGTCATTGCTTGATGATTTCAAAATCAAGTGAACCAGTCCACAGTCACTTTCTGTGATCTTTTTTTAAAAAGTTATTTTCTCTTGCAGTTTTAGTTAAGTTGAAGAAGGTGAATCAACGCTGCGCAGTGAAGTCCCAGTTTGTTCGACCAATCTGCCTGCCGGAAAAGGGAATGTCCTTTCCAGATAACCAGAAATGCCAAATTGCAGGATGGGGACACTTGCATGAAAGTAAGTTAGAATATTGCTTTTATGTGTGCTACTGATACTGACCAGAGACATAACCAGATGTTCTAAGTAGTCAAAACTTAGAACTATGATCACTTTAGTCTTCATGCAGATGATTTGTCAATTGAATCACTTCTTTGGCCAATTCCAGAACACATATTAATTATTTTATTGACAGCATGATTTAGCTCTGTTTTGCTGAAATGTCCTTTGACTTTTGCCGCAGAATTCTAGCACAGTGCAGCATAAAGTATGGCACCTGCTTTCTAGACATTGCATCCAGTTTTAAAATGTAGTTTCTCTTTTGTAATAGCCACTAAATCCTCAGAGGCTGAAATGCGCAGGGACTTTTCTTTCCTCCACCTGGCCCTGCACAGCGGCCCTTTGCCTTTCCTCCTACTGCATGATCCAGGGGGTATGGAGAGAAATGGGAATTGGAGCCTTCAGAATAACTATAGGAAAGAAATAAGTGCTGGAGAGGAAAATTAGGGGCCAGAAAGAAATGGTTATGTGATCAAAAGGCAATGCCAGTCAACCATGACTGTGAATGGGATTATACAGGAATAATAATAATAATAATAATAATAATAATAATAATAATAATAATTTATATGCCACCCTTCTGACTGTCACTTCAGGAGTACAGTACAGTGGTACCTCGGGTTACAGATGCTTCAGGTTACAGACGCTTCAGGTTACAGACTCTGCTAACCCAGAAATAGTACCTTGGGTTAAGAACTTTGCTTCAGGATGAGAACAGAAATCGCATGGTGGCAGCGTGGCGGCAGCTAAAGTGGTGCTTCAGGTTAAGAACAGTTTCAGGTTAAGAACGGACCTCCAGAACGAATTAAGTTCTTAACCTGAGGTACCACTGTGGTAGGCTAGGAAGGGTATTCTACAATAGTATGGCTTGGAGTCTAGTGTTCCTTTCTGATTCTCTGAGTTGGCTCAGTGAAATGCTCAGAAGTAAATGGAATATTTGTCAAGTTAAATGCTTAAGCAGCCTTGCATAAGGCTTGGCCTGCCAGCCCCACCTGTGAAGAGCAAGAGTTAGAACTTGGCCACAGCTGTTTCCAGGGCAAGCCTATTTGGCAGGTTTTTTGGGCAGTGAGTGACTATGAGCAGGCCAGCCTTGGTGGGAGGGCAATGGTAGGGACAGCCCCCCCCCACTGAGGATATCTCCTTTGGGGTGTGATGAGGGTGAGGGCACTCCCCCGGGCGACTGCTTGTGGGTGGGCTTGCTCCTAGGTGCAAACTGAAGCAGCTGGACTAGGATGGGCAGTGGGGATGCAAGTGTATTCCAAGTGAGAATAGTATTTATTTGTCTGCTTGCTTGCTTGCTTGGTTTGCACTGATATCCCGCCTTTTTCTCCAAGGAGCTAGAGGTGGTCACATGGTTCTCCCTCTCCTCATTCAATCCCCACAATGGCCCTGGCAGGTAGATGAGGCTGAGAGACACTGGACTGGCCCAAGGTCACCCAGTGAGTTTCACGACTGAGTAGGAATTTGAACCCTGGTCTTAGTCTGACACTCTAACCACTACACCACCCTGGGGAAAATGTGTCTGAGCATGAATCCAGCTCGCAAATATATAACTAGTGTGACTGCATTTTATTTTGCTATTTTATATTTTTCAAATTTACTGCACTGATTGTACTTTTATTATTGTTATTTTTGCATAAATATTCCGTTCACAACATTGGGGGCATCTGAGCCAAAATGTAGCATATAAACCATAACATAAATATGTAAACTATTCCGGGTTGTAGCCAACTAAATTTTACGCGGAGTAGACCCTTTTACATGGATCTGTTAGTCATATTCATTTATTTCGATTGGTCTCCTCTGAGTAGTACTACTGTTGAATCCAACCCTTGGGAGAGTGCTTGTCAAAACACTTTAAACACTTCATGTTAATCTACTCTGCTCTAGTTAGAATTAATTGTTTTCTATACAATTTATTTCCACAGATTCATCCAGCTACTCTAAAGTATTGCAGGAAACATCAGTTCCGATCATCCCTGATTACAAATGTCAAAACTATGATGTTTATGGAGCTGACATTAGTGAAAATATGTTCTGTGCTGGTCACCTTGATGGTAAATCAGACGCCTGCCAGGTAATATTATTGAGTTTCTGCCTGAATTAAATTTGTACGAGAGTGTGAATGTGAATGTGAGAGTCCAAGGAATCCCTCTTGGCATTTCTGTTTTGCTCACACTTTGTTTTTGGGGTTTTTTTGGGGGGGGCTGTGTAGCACATCTTTCCTCCCCCTTCCTTAGGGAATGCAAAAAATACTGGGTTTGGTGTAAGTTCTCTTCTTAAAGGGGTGGTGGAGTGGCCTAGTGGAGCATCCACCTCTGCTTAATGGGAGATAAATCCCTTTTGAAATGTAGACTGTGGAGATGAGATTGAGATCTCCATTTCAAAAATCTGAACTCACCACTCCTAACCAAGTATGTGCTCTTGCACTAATCCAGAATGATAGAGAGTGAGTGTGATATATAGATATAGACTTGACTCCTCTGGAGATTGGAGAATTCCACATTTTAAGTGCTATTATGAGTTCCATCAACTCCACCATTTACTTTTTTTAAATGCATGGGCAGAGCCATCAATGGGTGCAAATGGGTGTAAAAACGTCCAATTCCCAGAAGATATTCCTTTTGTGAAGAAGGAACTGAAGTGAAATATGTCAGTTCTACATGTAGGGCCGCACCTCAGGTTTGGAGCTGAAGAGCTGAAGGGAGGCATTCTTTGATGCCTGGAGTCTTGCCTCTCATTCCACTTCATTGCCTCCTAGAGTTTTTAGTTAGAGCTGAACAATTTATTGTCCTGCAGTTTTCTGAGGCTGACCCTTGTCACATGCCCCACAACTGAAAGCATTGAGGATCCACTCCAGATCTTGCATAGAAGTTGGGAGTTTTGTAGTATAAAAAAGGGAGGGTTTGTTAGTACATTATTTCTTGACTACTAGATGAAGGATAGGGACGTGGGTGGCGCTGTGGGTAAAACCTCAGTGCCTAGGACTTGCTGATCGTATGGTCGGCGGTTCGAATCCCCGCCACGGGGTGAGCTCCCGTTGTTCGGTCCCAGCTCCTGCCCACCTAGCAGTTCGAAAGTACATCAAAGTGCAAGTAGATAAATAGGTACCGCTTTATAGCGGGAAGGTAAACGGCATTTCCGTGTGCGGCACTGGTGCACCAGTGCAGCTTCGTCACGCTGGCCACGTGACCCGGAAATGTCTTCGGATGGCGCTGGCTCCCGGCCTCTTGAGTGAGATGAGCGCACAACCCTAGTGTCGGTCACGACTGGCCCATACGGGCAGGGGTACCTTTACCTTTAGATGAAGGATGCCAATGTTGTGTGGCAAGATGCCAACTGCCCCTGCCTCCAGCAACTATTCCACCATAAATGGTGAGCACCGAAAGGACCTGCCCACCCAAATATTCAAGGAAATACTCCAAACGTATGAGCATTAATTATTTGGCCCAAACTATCTGGCAATTTTTTTGAAAGGCCTCTCAGTGTCATGCACTGTTGGCAATTTATGACACTGGTAAGGAATATGAGCATGCTTGGTCTCCATTTTCTTATTTACATTTTTTCAAATTATTACACAGCTTGTGTTCCAGGTAGAATCTCGACACATATAAAAACTGCTTTGAAACTGATTTTTTTAAAAAAGCATGTTTAAAAATACATTGAATTTTCCATAAGGCTCACCATTGCCACCTAGTGTCACATTGTATATTGAGCTTAAAACACACTTAAAATGTTTTATTTGCAGCCGTATAGCTAGTCTCCTTTTGCAATGTTATTGAGCTTACAACAAGCAAAAAGACACAGAGATTGTCATTTGCAAAACCTATGATAAATAAAATGAGCCAATCTTTCCAAATAATGGAAACCATAGCGAAATACTTTTGTCCTTAAATTTATCTTTGAAACAGGGAGATTCTGGCGGCCCCCTGGCCTGTGAAAAGGATGGCATATCTTACCTGTATGGCATTATCAGCTGGGGTGATGGATGTGGCAAAGCTAGGAAGCCTGGTGTTTATACAAGAGTGACCAAATATGTGGACTGGATAAATGAGAAGATAAACCGGCTCCAAAAAAGCAGCCGTAGTTCCTTACCCAGATGAAGCATTTCACATTTTGCTAAAATTATGGATTGCCACCGTCACTGTTTATAATGCTAACTGTTGTCATTAAAAGGCACCCTGTTCCATCTGTTTCTGACATGTCTTTCTATCTACTTCACAATAATGGGCTTGTTTCAGGGCTGGACGAAAGGATGATGAAGCCCTAAACTGTCAATAAAAAATGTGCATTATTCTAAAAGAAAGGACAATAGAAATAGAAATTATAAACTTTTATATGTGTGTATATACAGGATATACACACATATTTTCACATAGGTGAGAATTCAACTAAAAACTAACAATCTAATTGAAACGTACACCTTGCAGCCAATTGTGTAAAACCTGAAATTTGGGGATTTGCTTGTTTGTTTTGTAATCAGAGTGTGGGAGTGGTCAGGATCAGGCACTGCACCAGAGGGGTGGTACATAGTCATTATGGTCACCAGTAACTATGCCAGGGCCCCCCAAACTTTTTTCAAAGAGGCCATATTTGATGAAGTGAACATGCGTGAGGGCCAACCAAAGCTCTTGAGCTTTTTTGAGTTTTTTAGGATTGAAGTTGCTGAGCTTTTTCTACAATTTTACCCCAGGACATATACTGCCATGGGGGCTGGATTAAATTGACCGGTGGGCCAGATTAGACCCCCAAATGGACTTTGGACATGCCTGAACTATGCTGTGGTTAACACTAGAGCTGAACTGACATGGTCCTCTCCATTTTACTGCCCTATTTGGAAGCAGAGAAACAGGATAGGTATCAATAGAGCAAAACATTCGCAGAGTACTTACCTTGCTTTAACACTACCCCCTGTTTTAAAAGGACTCCCCCTCCCTCTTATGGAGAGAGAGTTCCTTCAGTGCAGGAAGTATGCCTCACTTGGCATTCTGGAAAACACTTGCAAGAGAGAATTATTTGCTGTACTGCAATTGTGGCTTCAACAAATAGAACAGGGAAGCATGAAGTCTACTCCTTTGAGCATGTGATCTAACATTTAACTAGTGCAGAAGCCTAGCACTGCCCACACTCTAAGGCAGTGTTTCCCAACCTTTTTTGGGCAAAGGCACACTTGTTTCATGAAAAAAATCTCGAGGCACACCACAGCCCCGTGACGTCAGCGCGCAGCGTCACGCCGGGAGGGACGCACGAAAGTGTAAGTTTCAATCCCCCCCCCTTGCCTTCCTTCTGTGCCAACCGCCAAAAAGCCAAGAATCGCGGGACCGCCGCGGAGGGGGGAGGGCGAGCGGAGGCAGCGGCGAGCCCCGTTCCTCCCCATCCGCCCCATTCCGTGCAAGGAGCGCGAACAGGTGTGAGAAGGGGGTCAAACCTGCGGGCCGGCGCCGGGGAACCTCCAAGCTTTGGGGGTGGGGGGGGAGGAGGCAGCAAAGCGAGGCAGGAAGGAGAGCGCGGCTTGGCTGGGTGAGCTTTGGCAGGGGCAGGGAATGAGAGCCGCGAGGCGGGCGCTGCGGACGGAGGCGCTGCCCGCCGAGCTCGCAGGCAGCCAGGCAGGCAGACGGCGAGAGCCCCGCGCTGGGCGGCCTCTCCTGGAAAGTTTCAAAGCTGTAGTTAACTTTTTTAGATTATTATAAAAAAAATTGAATGCTGGAGCACGATTTCTGTTCTCATCCTGAAGCAAAGTTCTTAACCCAAGGTAATATTTCTGGGTTAGTGGAGTCTGTAACCTGAAGCCTCAGTTACCCGAGGTACCACTGTCCCATGTAATGTAGTTTTGTGTTTTTGTGTTGTGAGCCTTGGATGTTAAACAGCCACCACCACCGCAGGCCCTTAAAAACAAGGTACTTTCATATTCATCTTTACTTGGAGGCAAGCCTCCCTCTTCCCAAGGGGGCCACTTCCCAATTCAGAGTGCTTGGCATCCTAAGGAGGGGAGCAGCGCTGGATTTGGGACGCTGCTGGCGGCAGAGGGGCGCAAATAACAACACTGAACAGATCCGTTGGAAAAAGCAGCTGTACCAAAATGAATTATTGCGAAAATGAGGGATATTTGAGGGAGGGGCCGTCAAATGTTGTCCTCGCCCAGGACGCCACTTGAAGGAAGCAGCGGGGGTGGACGCGGGTTGGAATCCTCTCAGCCCGGCCTCCCTCACAGGGTTGTTGTGGGGGGTAAATGGCGGGGAGCCCCGCCCGCCCCCCCCACCGGAGCTCCTGGGAGGGAGAAAAAGGAATGCGAAAGCGCTAATAATAAAAGCCAATTTATATATGTGGAGAGAGGGAGGGAACCCTGAGGCCACGTCAGGCCCACAAAGGCGGGAAGGGGCCCTCAGCCGCGCAGGAGGCGCCTGTCCCGCAAGAGGCCGGCAAAGGTCACCTCTGACGCCCTTGCGCCTCCCTCCCTCCCTCCATTGCGCGCGCAGCGGGGGGGGGGCGTCGCTCACCATCCTCCGTGGCTGCGCGTGGCGGCTGCAGGTCGGCGGGCCCCTCTGGCGCGCGTGGACGGCGGCGCCCCTGGCGCAACTCAGGCGCTGGAGGGAGCGGAGCGAGCGGTACATGGCGGAGGCTGAGGAGCGAGGCGCCGCGGGCGGGCGAGGGGGAGGAGGACGGAGTGGGCGGAGTCGCAGCCAATGGGGTGGAAGAAACCCACGTTTCCTTTTTGAAAGAGAAACTTTTAAACGAGCGCGTGGTTGAAGAAGGCGCTTGCCCAGCTCCCCTCTGCGCCTCGGAGGGCGGGTTTGAGCACGCACAATGCGCCGCCCTCCCGCCCTGCGCCGCCGTCGTTTCGCGCTCCTCCCTTTTGTGCGCGCTGCCCCGCCGCCGCCCCATTGGCCAGGTCCTGTCAGCTGATCCTGTGTTATTTCCTGTGTGTGTGTGTGAGGGGAGAATGGAGAGAGAAAACCTCGGCACCATCACCGCGGAGCCGCCCCCGGCTCGACGCGGATCCTCGCCGCCGCCGCCCCGCCTCTCGCCGCCCGACTCGCCCGCCTCCCTCCCACGGCACACCAGGCAACGTCTCGCGGCACACTAGTGTGCCGCGGAACACCGGTTGGGAAACACTGCTCTAAGGCTTAGCTGCATGCAAGTGCTTGCACAGGTCATGAACAAGGAATACATCATAAATATTGATAGCAGGAATATCGATAGCAGCCGAAACTATGGAGATAAGGAATATTAGACTAACGCACACACCCATTGTCTAGAGAGGGACTTTCATGGTTTTCATCATGTACAAAAACTACTCTTCACTGCTACTGGTGGGGGTTTTTTTGGGGGGGGGGTACTGCTGCCCAACCACAGGTAAGCTAAAATTTGGATTTAGTTGGGCAGACTGTATGAAACCAGCAGTTAAGTCAGTGGTTGCCAGCAGATGAGGCACAGAATGAAGAGATTGGAAGATTAACATTTAATATTACCGTAAGTATTTTGAAGCAGAGGGTACATGTCATGAGGTTAAAAAAAAGAGGCCCCACTTTTTCCCATACAGCAATTAAAACACACATTCTACTGCAGCCATAGCACAGTAGAGGAATAGTTCAAGGGTGACGGGAAAGAAAAATGGTTTCTTTACCCTTCCTGAAGGGTCCTGAATCTAGTCAATTATGGGAGACAGAACAAGAAAAAATCTCTCTCCACTTCCTACACGCTAGGCATAACTTATATACCTCTATCATAACTCCTCTTACTGGCTGTTTGAGTAAAAAAATGCCATGTGCCACCCCTCTGTTCATTTTGGCTGCCCTTTTTGAACCCGTTCCAACTCTACAATATCCTTTTCTTAACGTGAGACAACCAAAACTCTACACCATAGATTTGCATAACAGTATCATATTGTTGGCAGTTTTGTTTTTAATCCCACTCCTAATGATCCCTAGCATCTTCACTGAGTGATCCACTGTGCCCCAAGGTCACATTCCTGGTCAGTCACTGCAAGTTCAGACCCCATGAACATATACTATGTGAAAACAACCACTGCCAGGATCGAGTGTTTTCACTGGCGCACGAGGATAACTGCTTATCTCCCTCTTCCTCAGTGATGCCCTCCTTCCCCCACCCCCCTCCCCATGACTTCAAGGGAGATCTCCTCCTTGCAATGGGACACAGCTACCACGTCCCTGAAGGTCTTGACCACCAACCCCTCTGCTTCTCTCAGCCTCTCCAGGTCAGCCAAATGTTACCCCCTGACCTTTTCTATCTAGCAGGGAACAAAATGGAGGCTCTTGTACCTGAAATAGCAGATAAATGCAAGGGGAGAAATGAAGCTACAAATCTTTCAAGCTTTCCCAGTCTAACAGGACAGCAGTCGGAGGAGAACCTAAACAGATCAAGCCACCAGCATTTTATTAAATTTAAAACTGCATACAGCCAGGGTTTAATTATTTCCCCCCATATTGTGTATGGTTGGCTCTTCTGCATCTCTTGACAGCCAATGTAACCTAAAGGTCTGGAGTTTTTACACACCCTGAATGTGGGGAAAGTGTGCAGGATCAGGCCAAAGGCCCATCTAGTCAAGCTTCCTGTTCTCACAAGAGCCAACTAGATGCCTCTAGGAAGCCTGCAAGCAACAGGGATTCAAGGGCATACTGGCTATCCTCTTTTGGTTTAAATCCCAAACCTCCTTGCAGCTGACCACACAACTGGTACTGTTTGGTGACCAGAGGTGTACCTAGAGGTCCCTTTCGCAAAGAGCTGTATTGGCAGCGGGGGGTGGGGGTGGGGCATTACCGTATTTTTCACTCTATAAGACGCACCAGACCATAAGACGCACCTAGTTTCTGGAGGAGGAAAACAAGGGAAAAAAATATTCTGAATCCCAGAAGCCAGAACAGCAAGAGGGATAGCTGCACAGCGAAAGCAACAATCCCTCTTGCTGTTCTGGCTTCTGGGATAGCTGCGCAGCCTGCATTCGCTCCATAAGACGCACACACATTTCCCCTTACTTTTTAGGAGGGAAAAAGTGAGTCTTATAGAGCAAAAAATACTGTACTTTACTGCAATAGTGACGCAAGTACTTGGTGTGTCTGGAAAGAGGGAAAGCTGGCGAGGAAGGGTGAAAAAATTCACACAACGATGTGCTGCGGTGTGAGGATGGGAAGCTTCTCCCGTGTTTGATTCTGTTGCGATAGCAGCGTCACGTCGTCATACACTCCAGCGTCACACTGTCTCCAGCTGCCTTGCCACTTCTCCTACTGCTCAGCTCCAGCTGTTGTCGAAGCTCATGACCGTACACAGATAATGGGAGACTGATTTCAGGGGCGATTTTTTGCGCCAACCCCTCTTCCTCTCCTTTGTTGGGGGCAGAGGAACTGTTCACTCATAAATCCGTTCTATCCTGTTTCTGCATTATTCTCAGGTTTTTTTTAAAAATAGACATGAAAAGCTACATTTAAATACTCTTCCTCTCGAAATATGTATCATGAAATTGCATTTTGATTAGTCTCCCAACAATGTAAGTACAACTGTTTCCACACCAGGTGATTTCTCCTCTCCGCCACCGCAGAGGGTGAGGCAAAGAAAATCAAATGACTTTTGAGTCTTTCCTTGCACTTTAGACAAAGTGGTCTAAGGACCTTTGATCCCTCATTTTTTTCAAAGCTGCCGCGTGCTTTGAGAAGGGGACTGTATCTGCCCCTGGGAGTGAAGCAACATAACGGTGTGCTGTCATTTCCAGGGTCCTTGAACAGAAAATAGTTGGCTGCCCTAAACTGAGCATCCCAATTTGAATAAACTGTCTAGAATCTACAAAAAAAATTCACAAAGCAAGACCACATTTTATTTCATTAAGAAACACCCAGTTGTCTAGATGGCTCACCTCCTACACTGATTAAACTCTTCATAATTACATTACAATTTTTTATTTACCTGGAAGGAAGAGGCAATCCTAGGATATGTAATTTCTGTAAAATAGATAAATATTGTATTTTCAGGAGCACTGCAAAAGAAACTAAACATTGGCTTTCGATATCATTTTCTCCAATAAATTCATCATTCTCTCTTGCAGCTGCAGGCTCTGGACTTGGATGATGTTCTGCTGATCCAGAATCCTTCTTACTTCCCTGCACGTTTCTTCCATTGCCCTACTCAGTTTCTTTTGTTCCTCTAGCATTGCTTCCATTAACTTTAGTTTCTTCTTTTGAAAGCTACAACTCTGCATTTTCCTTTTCTTTATGGGCCTCTCTTCAGCTCTGAAAAGCAAACATTTCGGCATTAAATCTGCTTTGTGATCTGATATATCACATGGTTGGGTAATATCTAATGTTCACCTGGACTGGGCAAAAGCAGGGCTGCCCTACACATGCATTCACTTGAACTCAAGAAGAGCCTTCCATGCTGTTGGGGACCCTGGCAAAGCCACTCGTGTAGTTTCTCAAATTTCTCTCAAACTTGTTGGGTATTCCATGCTCCCCTATAACCCAGCTGGAAGCATTATTTGATATACTCACCCAGCACTTGGCATTGTTTTCACAGGGAATACTGTTTGACAGCACATCCCACCAACCCAAGGTCCCAAGCCACCTCCTCCTATCTGAAAATAATGCTTTATATAACATAGCCAGAGGGCTGGCTATGTTAGGCAGTATAAACAACATAGAGTCTTTGGCACCTTAAAGACTAGCAAGTATATTATGCCATATGTTTTAATAGATTACAGCCCACTTCACTGTAGCTGTTATCTTCTGTTGTCAGTTGTGTATGTACCTAGTGTGGAGAAAGCAACGCAAGGAGTGATGAGAGAAAAGAAATGCAAAAAACCAAAAACAGTCTAATTGTATTGTTTAGAGTTTGGGGTGGGGTCAGTCTGGATGAAACCCTGGTTTGCCTTCCAGGCCTGCAATCCTAAGGGGATGTAAGGGGAAGCTTGACAAACTAGTTCCTTTGGCGAGGTGGGCTTTTCTCCTCCGCCCCACCCAAACTGGCTGCTACATAGGTGAACAACAGCCAGAGTTGTGTGTGAGAGATGGAAGCTGGAGAGACAGAGATGTGCATGATCTGTGCCGGATCTTAAGTTGTGACTAGTGGAGGAGCAAGATCTGTTGGGGTGTTAATACTGCTAACCCATCTTATGCTCAGGTTGTATATATGTGTAAATGAAACCACGTATCCTAAACACACCACCACTGACCTTCATTCTCAGGAAACTGAACCCTGGAAAAAGCACTTGCAACACCTGGAGTCTGTCACTGCATAGAGATTGTGGTGGAACATAGCAGTATCTTTCAATGAAAAACTTTGCATATTTAAAATAATTTATAATAGAAGAGTACTAGGGGTCTAAAAGGATCTAGGTGTCTTAGTAGACCACATGCTTAACGTGAGTCAACAGTGTGATACAGCAGCAAAAAAGCTAATGATTCTCTAGGCTGCATCAACAGAAGTCTAGTGTCCAGGTCAAGGGAAGTAATAGTACCACTCTATTCTGCATTGGTCAGACACCACTTGGAATACTATGTCCAGTTCTGGGCACCACAATTTAAGAAGGATAATGACAAGCTAGAATGTGTGCAGAGGAGGGTAACCAAGATGATCCAGGGTCTGGAAACCAAGCCTTATGAGGGATGGTTGAGGGAGCTGGGTATGTTTAGCCTGGGTAAGAGGAGACTGAGAGGAGATATGGTAGCCATCTTCAAATATCTCAAGGGCTGCCACATGAAAGATGGAGAAAGCTTGTTTTCTTCTGCTCTGGGGGCAGGATCCGAATCAATGGCTACAAGTTGCAAGAAATGAGATTCCAACTAAACATTAGGAAGAACTTTCTGATGGTAAGAGCTATTCCACAGTGGAATGGACTGCTTTGGGAGGTGGTGAGATTCCTGCATTGCAGGGGGCTGAACTAGATAACCCTTGGGGTCTCTTCCAACTCTATAATTCTATGGTTCTATGATTCTTAGGGTAGATGTAAATCAGCATGTCAAACATGTTTTTATTGACAAGCTGTTCATTTGAAACCTTCATCACATGATGACTGAGAAAATTCCTCTGACCTTCTGTCATTCCTTTCATTTCCAGTTTAAATAGACTGAAATGCTCTCAGAAATCCTAGAATGGAATTAGATAGCAAGTGCCCCCTTCAAAAAACAAAAGATAACTGCCCCCTCCCAGCCCAAATATAGTTAGTGCTCAAATGCATACAGAAGCTTGATGCTCCATTGACTTGCACACCAAAAGGTTTTTTTTTTCAATGAGCAATTGAAGGGTTAAAGTAAAATCATTACACACATGCATATTGTGAACAGATATTACTCATTTCCTTTGGAAACTAAAGGGTGACAACAATAATTATCTGAGCATGCACAAAGGTGAAGGAATTTGGTTGCTTAGTCAGGTGAACCATGACTAAGGTGCAAGTTAATATCAAGTAACTCATAATTAATCTTGGTTTGAATTATGATTTTTTTTTAAAGGATCAAAGTCATGGTTTGTTATAAGTTTGAGAATTACGATTTCTGTCCAGTGAATTCTATCTAGTGAAAGATAGAACTCAAAATAAGTCACTTTACGAGTTTTGTCAGGGTCACTAGTCTTGACATTCATGGTCAAAATATACCCCTGAGTCTTGGTAGCTGGACTACCTTTTTAATTACTTACTACATTTACAGTATGTGTTGTCTTTGTGTCAATGCACTCAAGGCAACTCACAGTTTAAAACAACGGCTTACAAGTAACTCAATGCAATACAAAAAGGAACAGACAGTGAGGGAAGAGAAAAATAAGCCTGTGGTGGTTTTAGGAGGGGAGGATCAGATGGAGGTTGGGGGAGACCTCACTGTATCACTTCTCCCCTGATACAGCAAGAGTTGCTGATGGAGATGGTCTGGAATCCCACAAAACAGAGCCTATAATTTTTCACATTAAAAGACAGCAACCCTTTGCATACATCTGACTTAAACTATAACTACTACTAGACCCTTCTCGAAGCTGCAAACATGAGTCTGACCAAACTGCGGGAGGCAGTGGAAGACAGGAGTCCATGGGGTCACGAAGAGTCGGAAACGACTAAACGACTAAACAACAACAAGACCCTTCACAGCTGAAGAAAACAGAGACCCCTGAAGCCCCCAAATTAAGTGGTCCTTAAATAGATTTTTGCAGCTTTATCCTATATCCCACATAGGGCCCAATATGTAAAATATCAAAGTAATATATAACTGTTACCTTAACTTATAAGAAAGTAAGCTGGAAGAGCTCTCAGAATGCTCATCTTCAAAAAATTCTTCTCTCCCTTCATATGTGAACTGGTTATAAGGCAAATAGAGTGGAGTAGACTTGGCAGATGGAGACTGTGATGCCTCAGTCTGGGATGTTGAAGGACCTGGCAGCTGACTGTCATGCATTTTCACATCATTGTGCTCTGACACTTTAGAGAGTATTCTATCAATGGTTTTAAAGTAAGGCCAATCAGGTGCAAGCGTTTCACTATCAGTCATACATTTTAATTTCCTGCAATGAAAGAAATAATTATGAAAACTCAGATAGTAATTTCATGCAGGTTTCAAAAATTCTACTATAAAAATATGTGTGTGTGTTCGGAGGGATGTAAGTTGAGCTGTTAATATGTGCACATGATAATCTGTTCATTAATTGTGCACATTTCTTGGTCAGTACATAATCTCCAAAAGGTCCTAAGGAATGTGCATATCTCAAATGCATTTGGCACATCATCCAACTGGCCTTGGAGAATGTGCATATCTCAACTGATTAATTGACTTCCAACTGAATTCCCATTCAAGCAAACCAAATACTTATTTCCATTTCTGACTCCAAACTTTTGAAAGAGGCAACCATTTCTAGAAACTGTCAGTTCTGCTGAAGAGGCCAGAAAAGAACACTTTGACCGAAAATGCTATTCAAGGACACAAGTGTTTGAAGAAGGGTCACTCCCATCATTTTCCAACCTGGGCCTTAAGGTCCATGGGAGATACCCTGCTGTAATTCTATCAACAACTATGGTTAATAGCATGACAACATGGAGCAGGACCTCCCCACTTTCCGGTTGTTAAATGAAATACAATTGTCCTCCACATTAGAAGCTTTTTGGTATTATGAAACACCTTCAGATGTTTGGGGCCAGCTGAACTAATGAATTCTCTTTTTACTGTTATACTGGTTGTTTTTTATGAGACGTACTGGTTTTATATTATGTTCCATAGTCTTTTAATATAATACTGCGTATTGTCCTGTGAACCTTCTGGTTGAAAGGTGGATTCTAAAAACAATAATAAACAATTTAGCATAAATTTTCTAAGGCAGCATGGTGGACTAGCACAAGTCCCCATGTCTTGATCAGTGGGCTGAAGTGTATTCATACAGGGTGGGCATTATTCCTCTTTATTTAATTGAGGAATTTAGAGCACACCCTTATTTTAAAAATAAATCTCAGAGCAGGTCGCACTATAAACATCATAAACAATAAGACCAAACAGATCAGCTTCTGTATAACACAATAAAAAGATTAGCACATCCATAAGGAAAGGCCACCTCTACCTAAGCAAAAGCCGGAGTGAATAGATGATCAGAAGAATCTTTATTTGCATCAGCCACTAGCTATAGCAATAAAATAAAATGTACTGAAGACAGAGGTTAATGCTTAGCTATACAAAATACGTTTTGGAGGTTTCCATCAATAATCAAGTACGGTAATAGATCTTGTTCTAATTGCCTGCTAAATTTTTTTGCAGTTTTTGCTGTCACCTGATCATTTTGATCTGCTAGAAAAAAGGACACAGTAGCAAAGGTTGAGTGACCAGGCATGGACAATAGTAGAGGGGTAATAACCTCACTCCTCAAAACTTTAGAAAGAGTGCAAGCCAGAAGCACATGAGCCACTGACTCAATACTGCCAACTCCACATTGGACATAATTGTTTTTCCAGCGGAATTTTTTGAAATCGACCCTCAAGTACAGCCAAAGGCAGTATATTCAATCTTGCAAAAGTGAAAGCGCATATGTACTTTGGAATTATTAAATTTTGCAAATAGTGTGCCCAGGTGTCAAAATGACTAGGTGGAAAATAATTATACCATGGACAAAATTTCCTTATTGTGGCTAAATTATTCTGTCACTCGATATCATATAGGCACTGTCTAATTCAATTATTTGCTTTACAGAAGTCCAATGTTAATAACTGTTGTGGTGATAAACCAGAAAAGTAAAGCTTTTGGTTGACAATTTTAGTCCAAGCGCTCTCATGGCAATCTTGCGATACTAAGGGTTGTAGACCAGTAGGGTTTAAATTTAGATGAAGCCAATAATTAAATCCTACAGCAAATCTGTAATTCAACAGAGGGGAGATTAGCCTCCAAGTGCAATGAAGCATTTGGAACACAGGATGAAACAGAAAAAAAATTGCCTTAGGAGCTTAGATTGCACAGCTTCTGTAGATCCAAGGTGAGCACCTGTCCAAAGCTGAGCCCCCAAAAATAACTGTGCTAGGGGTTTAGCTTTAAACACTTCAAGTGCTGATGGTATGTGATTGCCACCTTTTGAATGGAAAAAGCATGTCAGAATTTTGGCGCTTTGAAACGCTTTTTCCTTTGCATATTTCTGATGTGCTCCCCATGACCCTGTTGGCTGAAAAATAAGGCCGAGGTATTTAAAGACTAGATGTATGCTTACCAAGCATAAAAAAGAACCAGTCTAACGTGAAAGCAATTCTTCCCCTACTTCAATTACAGATCCACATTTCATGGCCCCAAATTAGTTTTTCTGGAGACACCCCATACTCATAATTAACTGCATTGTTCTCTGACCAAGTGCCCAGTTATCTGCTTTTTCCATTGAGGAGGCTTTCAAGATTGCGTGTGAGATGAAGACATCCTGCATTTAGCAAGAAATACACAGATCCAAACAAAACCAGAGAGACGATACTGAAGAACGATAGAATTAAGTGCTTGAAATAATAGTGAGGAAATATCCTTCATAGCGTATATCTTTTATGATAGGAACAGCATAATTTAGTCTTCTCAGAGAAGTCTTCATGAAGAAGTAAATCACTAATGACCAGGAAAAAAATGGCAATGGGATAAAGGCTGAAACTTTGGTTTGTTTGGGTGATATTCAATTAAGTTTTACTCAGAGAAGAGCCACTGAAATTAATGGACCTAACTTAGCCAAGGTCATTGGAATTTCAGTGGATCTACTCTGAGTAAAACTTAGTGAATCCCACTTTTTAAAACCACTATGGAAATAAAATTTAACTTTTACAGCTTGATTTTGTGTATCCACCACTCATGCCAGTTAACAAGTTAATGCTTCCATTCACTAGAAAAAATGTCCCTGAAGACATTTATGTAAGTTACCCTTGACAGAGCTGGAGAAGAGCTGAACACTCTTGCACAATTAGTGTTGCCAAGAATTATTTTCTCTGTTTTGGGCAGCTTCCTCTGTCTTTAGCAGCTGCATTACACACAAAACATTAGCAGGTGAACCTCTATCCATCACTTACAATAGACTTCTGTTCACTTCTACTCAGAAAAGTCTCAGTGAGTTCAATGGGACTTACTGCCAAGTGAGAGAGTATTGGGATGTTTCCCTAGGCTGCAGTCCTACATATTAGCTAGTCAGTATGTCTGCTTACTAAGGAGTGCTTTGCATTGCAAGTTCCTGCCGCCAGGAAGCTGTTGAAGTTTCTGGAGCCACCCCCACCCCCCGGCCCCTGGAAAAATTCTCGTAAAAATCTGGTAAGCTTGGACATAGTTACACATCAAAAAAGGGAGATGGAGAATTAGGGGAGAAGAGAGACAGCAGAGGAGAAAGTAGGAAAACAAGCTCAAAAGAGCACAATAAAGAAGAGTTTTGAATAAACAGGATAATTTTGGATCTAAAGATGTGAGGGTGAATGGAGCAACATATTTTACTCCTTGTAGATTTGCACCAAATCTGCAATGGTCATCAAATTATCAACAGCAAAATAGGTAGGGGGTTGGCAGGGGGTTGGACTCGATGGCCCTTGTGGTCTCTTCCAACTCTATGATTCTATGATTCTATGATTCTAGGTAAGGATTTTAACTACAAAATATTACATGATATGTTTCAGAGGATATGTGCCAAATTAGGGTGTAGAATCTGCATGGAAATCTATTGTCTTGACTGTAGATGTATTTACCTAAACGCTGGATTAAATATTTTGGTTATTAAACAGGTAATTTAGATAAATGAGGCTGGCCTATAGAATTTCACATCCTCATTTAGGAACACTGTAACATTCACACAGTCATCATTTGATGACTGCAAAGTCAACAGATAACTTATCAAGTAGTAAAGGTAAAGGAACCCCTGACCGTTAGGTCCAGTCATGGAGGACTCTGAGATTGCAGCGCTCATCTCGCTCTACTGGCCAAGGAAGCCGGCGTACAGCTTCTGGGTCAGGTGGCCAGCATGACTAAGCCGCTTCTGGTACTATCAAGTAGTAGTACTCCTCTATTCTCCCTGAGTCAGATCACACCTAGAGTTGCGTGCCTAGTTATGTGTGCCACAATTCAAGAAGGGTATTGACAAGCTGGAACATATGCAGAGGAGGCTGACCAAGATAATCAAGGGTCTGGAAACCAAGCCTTATGAAGAACGGTTGATAAGAAGAGACTGAAAGGAGATATGTTAGCCAGCTTCAAATATCTAAAGGGCTGCCACATGGAGGATGCAGCAAGCTTGTTTTTTCCTGCTCTGAAGCGTAGGACCCATACCAATGGATTCAAGTTACAAGAAAGGAGATTCCAACCAAACATCAGGAAGAACTTTCAGGTAGTTTGACAGTGTTCCACTGATTGACGGTGGAACACACACCTTTGAGAGGTGGTGGACTCTCCTTCCTTGGAGATGTTTAAGCAGAGGTTGCATGGTTTTTTTAGTTGCAATTCCTACATTGCATAGGATTGGACTACATGACCCTGGAGTCCCCTACAATTCTCTGATTCTAGGATTTGTGACGAAGCCATCAAAAAAACTAAAAAGACAATGGGGACCATTTTGCCTAGCAGATTGCTTCCCCCAGTACAGACCAAGACCTTCTGATGAAATCCTACTAGTCATCTAAGGACCAGTGGATTGTCCCTTGGTGACAGCAGACGAGCAGACCTCTTTGGTGGCAGCACTGGTCCTTAGGGATGACCTCCCTCAGGTGGGTTGAGAGGCAGACACAGCAACCAGCTTCAAGCATCTCTTAAAGTCATATATATTTACACAAGTTTTCCTAGACAGTGATTCCCAGTTTTTATTTTTTTGTTTATGTACTGCTCCATTTTACCTACATTATACGGCTCTGCTCTTTTTATTTAGCTTTTAAGAAGTCTTATTTGAATGCTGTTATTGTATTCTTATATGAATTTTATTATTTTTCTGGTTACACTTTATGTAAACTGCTCAGAAATTTCTTTTTATACTGAGCAGTATATGAAATGTATGATTAAATAACCTTTCAATAACTACAAGTAACTTGAGTTCCCACACTCAGTTTTGAGTATTCAAGTCTTGAGTAACGAAGCAATGTTACATGCATGTGTGAATTGATTCCTATGTGAATCCTAGGGTCCTAGGCTTTACACCTGCCATTTCATATATAGTTGATGCTTTTCAAAGTACCAAGTGCAATCAATCAATCAATCAATCAATCAATCAATCAATGAAATATAGTATATACACATTCCAGTTTCTTTTCATTCAAAATATAGCATTCCTGTCTCTTGGATTCTCTTTTTATTATTATGGTATTTTGTTTGCTAATACTCTACTTGACCTGCTGAATGAAAACAAGATTAATCTCTTGAGGCTTGTAAAAAAGCTTTCAAAATAAATTATAAATAACATTGCTCATGTGCCAATCGGTGGCTAAAGGGGAGAGAGGAGCAAAAGTGCAGTACTTAAGTTGTGTCTCTGCTATGAATGAATTATTCAAATAGAACAGAAAACTGGTAAAATATTCAAATGCAACATTCTGAAGCAATTTGAGTGAGTTCTCTCTCTTCAATTACGACATCAAAGAATCCACACTGAAAAGCATAGCAAGGATCTAGATAGTGAACTCCTGCACCCAGTGATGTTTTTGATGTTTAAAAAATATATAAATCACATTTTATGAAGTTTGGAAATTAGATATATAAGGATGCTTTATACAGAGCTTCTGAAGGGTGAAAAATGAGGTGCCAGTACAAAATGGCTGCCATGGGCAAGCAAAAAAAGAGGTGACGCTACTCCATTCCAGTGAGTTCCATCCCTTAAAAAAGGACCTCTTGAGAGGGATGGCACCTCTTTCCCTTTCCCACCTCCTGTGCTGTACAACCTATCGCTAGAGGGCTCAGATTTGGGGCTGGTTGTCAGTCTTGAACCTGAGCATTTTATTGCTCCATAGCAGGATAAAGGATTCTCGGAAGGTGGCAAAAGGGAAATAAAGATGTCCTTTCTTCTTTCCTTCCTTCTCAATATCCTTGTAAATAGAGCAGAGAGTAGAAATGCGAAGAGTGGGGGACAAGAAATAAGATTGGGGTCAAATGGTTCCTGGTCTTCTTTTCCCCTCTGATGGTTTTATTTCTTTTTCCCAGTGGAAAAAGTTGGAAAGTTGGAAATCTGGAGGGATTTGTAATCTTATTTTATCTTTTAGAATAATAGATGAAAGGGTTTTTTTTTAAAAAAAAAAAAAAACCAGAACAAAATTGTTTTAGATACCTTTTACTTCTACAAAACGGGTTCTAATAACAAGGGTTTCTAGTAACATCGTAAAATAATATATAGTACTAGGTAATTTAAATACCCATATACTATAGACTCCTCCTCCATAAACAACAACGTATATGTCAGTTTCACATGTGATCATTCTATCCATTTTCTCAATTAATGTGTAATTTCTTCCCCCAAAGTTCCAAACAAAATTCTTACTGAAAAAAGCACTGATGGGGTATTTAATAAGATATTATCTTTTTAAAAAAAACAATCCAAGTCATCACTCCAAGCAGCTAGAGAGCTGCTGCCTCTGTTTGCACTACACACATTCAAAATAGGGCCGCAAATTCCTCTGGAACAAAGAGATGTAAGGATGTTGCTGCCCCTCCCAGGGATAAAATAAGGAGAAAATACGGCTGCCTCCATTTGCAGCCTCTAACAACTTACTTGTAAATATATACATTTGTAAAATTTAATTAAAAGTAACCTCCAGACCACCTTGTCAAATGTGTTCAAGGGCGGATTACGGAATATAAATATGTTCCTATATACACGTTAATCCAGAAGGTGTGGGTCAGGTGGGTTGCACTGGAATGCGTACTGAGAAAATTCCTCAAGCTTCCTTAATGTGCTTGCTACTCCATCTCTAACTCTGGATATACCATATTTTTCCGTGTATAAGACTAGGTCCCCCCAAATACATGCGGGCGTCTTATAGATGGAAAAATACGGTATTTGCTGCTATGCTAGACTAGGGCTTATATATAACTCCCCATTTACGCAGGGGTTGCGTTACTAGGCACCGCATGTGTCAGTCAGACGTGCATAAGTCCGCCCCGCCCCCTTGCCGTGCCAAAATGGTGTGTGCATCAGTGGTCGCACATGTGCCCATCGCATGCAAATGGGGATTTGCCTGTTCAGTATACCACTTTTTGACCAAAAGGTCTCCAAAGCAGTGGAAAACATATCAACATGAACAGGGACGCGGACTTATAAAAAATATTGGGGGGGCCCGGGAAAGCTCATGAATAATAAATAAGCTCATGAATATGCAAATAAAGTGGCGCCGCCTCCTCGTGAGCGAATAGGGGAGAGCGTGCTGCGCCTATTAATCAGCTCCAAAGGAAATTGGGTGGAGCTTTTGCTCGGGAGGGAGGGCAGGAGGCATGCAGCCCGCCCCTCCCTGTGCATTTTGGGCTGGGGGAGGGGCGGCGATGGCGCTCTGCTGGAGGGGCGCCGGAGATTATTGGGGGGGCAGAGCCCCCCAAACGAATTTTTGAGGGGGCTCGGGCCCCCTCAAGCCCCATGGAGTCGGCGCCTATGAACATGAAAGGAAAATGCCATAGATAAATCAAAATAATACAAAATACCCATAAATCACACTGGATATGTGTTAGGAACTCCAGCAACCCCTGCAGCAAGAAACAAAAAAGCACCAATCCAGCCACCCCTCTCTCTAGCACACCTCGGGTGCTTCTCCTGCCTCTCACACAGGTTCCACTAACAGAAACCACTTCTGTTTCGTACTGCAGCCAACCAGCCAACACAATACTCATTAACTCCACATTACAATAACCAGAGCCTAGAGAGAAAAGAAACACAAGCCCAGCATGGAAGGTTGGGTAATGGGCAGGATCCACAAGAACAGGCTCACATGCTGGAGTGTGGAGCAACTCTTCTCCCTCTCCTAACATCTCCACCAGCTGATAATTAACATTCCATACAACTCAACACTTTTACACAAGGGCCTAGGTTTTATTTTATTTTTAAAGTTGGCAAAATAAAACTCAAAAGGGGCATGGCACCCTCTGGGGTCATGCTGTCAAGGTTGCTCCACCGCATCATGTCAGCTGGCTGCTTTACAGCAGCCTTCCTCAACCTCAGCCCTCCAGATGCTTTGAGACCACAATTCCCATCATCCCTGAACACTGGTCCTGCTAGCTAGGGATCATGGGAGTTGTAGGCCAAAAACATCTGGAGGGCCAAGGTTGAGGAAGGCTGCTTTACAGCTGAGTAGGTCCAATCCTGAAGAGTGTCACAGCCGCCCAGAACACCCTCACTGCCTTGCCAAGGAGCTGGTCTTTGCCGCAGGTGCTTCTCAACTAGGCAAGCAAGGTTACTGGGTGGTGGAAGGTAATTTGTAATTATTTTGCTTGAATAAACTGAGGCACTTATATGTTTAAATTTAATAAGTAGAGCAAAACAATGCCCTTGTGACCAAAGTGACCACAACTGAAAACCTGATGATGATTCTTCCCTCCTCTCTCACAGTCCTCCTAAAACAAAACTTGAAATAACAGTGGATCCTCATTATTATTATTATTAATTATTAGAATTATATACCAAATCCTTCCCAGCCGCCCCGCAATTCATGCTACCTGTTCAAGAAGAGAGTCTGAGGGCGGGAGGTGGCCTCTCACTTTCTCTATCCACAATGAACCACAACAGAAAACCAAAGTGCACAGAATTCTTACACATTTATATGTTGCACGTGGGCTTATTGCAGGATCTACAGCATATTTCTAATACCTAGTTTTCTCTGGTTTACCTATAAAAAAGTTGAACTATGTAAATCTTAAGCACTTAGCTCAAGTATTAATTGAGAGCATGGGATGACTCCTCACCCAAGCAAGGACCTTTCCTTGTGTGACGCTGCTTAACCAGTAAGAGGGAAGATTTATTGCCTGATACTCACCACTTGACTCCTTTTGCATCACTGCTTGGTTCTTCAATTATATGCATGCATCTGGTTGTAAAATTAAACGTTACAAATGCTAACAAGTGTTACAAATGTCCTGTTTATCACTTTTTAAAATTCCATGCATACTTGATAGTGCTTTTTGGCGATATTTGATTGTGAACATGGAAAAGAGGAAGCACTAAAAGTGGTATTTGCCATAAGTATCTCTCGGGAAGAGGCCCATCTAGATCACTCCATTTTGCAAACAGCATAATGAATAATAATTGATATTTCCACCTTCTCTTGTGAACTAGAACAGTCTCAGCCACAGCTGAATGCAATAAGGCGGTGGGGGAAGAAACTGCAATTCCTCTAGTAATCTCTACTTCAGGACTATAGCAGGCTTTGTAGAATCTTAGCTACTGGACTGAAGCAGAGCTCTTCAGAACATTTCAGCTTTTTTGGAAATTAATTAAGGTATTGCTGTATGTGTCGAGATTATCATTCATATACACATAGCCGTAATATTTAAACTTGAATGTTCAGTCTGCAAATATTTTAGATGCCTTTGTTTTTAGCATAGTTTAAGTTTATGAGCAAAATAAATAGAGTGATTTAAACACACTATGATGTTCTCAATTCCAGTTATATTCTGGGTCCCGTCCCAGTGGTTAAGGTACTGTGAGTATGTCATGGTCAGAGGGCAGCGTCAAAGCTCCCAGTATTGTACTTTCAAAACATTTCAGTATATTTCTTTAAAATATGGATAATTATATGTGTGTGTGTGAGATGGTGTTTGTTGATATATTTCTATGCATACACATTCATGTGTTGTGTGAGAGAAAGACATGGAGCATGTTCACCTCTTTTTCCTTTATGCTTGGTGGGCCATCTCAAATTATGAACCAAGGGTGGGCCTTCAGACTAAAAACTTCAGCCCACCTTTTCTGGATTTCTCACTCTCTTGTCAGACTAAGGGCACAAACTATCTGTTTCAGAGTGTACCTCTGTAAATGTGCCATCCTGCAAGGTGATATGTAAGTGAAAACATATCATTTTGAGAATATTCACCATTTCATGCAAAAGACATATAATAACTTAAGAGGTCACCATCTTAAGATGATCTAGCCAAAAGTGAAAATGAAGAAAGACACAAATTTATAAATGCTAATAGGGAGTTGTAGATTGCACAGCATATGGTTTAAATATAAAAATGATGTTTTAACCTAACCCACCCAGGCCCAAAATGCCCAAAACAAGCAGACTTAACATGGATGCCTGTGACTTTTTTTAAAATCACTATTTTTCTGCACTGAAAAGAGCTTAAATAAAGGAATCATGTATTTCAGATTGATGAATTATAGCTAACCTCCAACAGATCCATATTAGAGATTGCATGTTGTCGCAAATTAGAACATAGCTAAAAGCAGATTTGGTAGTTCATGTCACATAGAAACAGGAAAATGCTTTTCAACACCATGCAAATATTTTTCTGTCCCTAGGCTGCAAATATTTCATTTTCCTAAGCCAACTTCCTCTCCTGATGGGCTCTAACTACTTCATTATCTCATTTCAGATACCTCAGTTTCCTCCCCCAGCTGGAACAGTGTTTACAGTGTGCACTGATTTCTGTCTGCAAATGTAATTGTTCCTTTGCTAATGCTAGCTACAATTATAGCAACGTGTGTCACTCAGTGGTGAGGCATGCAGTTATTTTAGTCCTCCGGAGGGTAACTTCCTCAGTCTGCGATAGCAAAATTTAGAGATTTTTTAACAATAATTATTTTATTTAAATTGTATCTAGTTTTTACATTTGAGAAGACCAGCTCAAAATTGATCTAAGCTGTGCCAGTTTAAAGTGCAAGTGAAAGCTAAAATAAAAATATAAACAACAATAATTCATACTATCTTTTGCATCCCCTTGTTTCATAAAAACAGTAATTAACAAAAACCACCACCAAAGTTATGCTACCATTTGAAAGCAGTAAGGAGAAAAATTAGGAATGATAACATGGTGCTGTTAAGAGTGATTTTTAAGAGCCCTATGAACAACCTTTAATCTTTCATCTGTGGTTTCTCTTTACAAGATATTTTCAGAAAGGCAAAGAGCCTGATTAATATCTAGAAATCACTCAAATAAAAGGAATTAACTGAAGCTTACCTGTACTGGAATGTCATGTTTGTAATTTTTATCTTTATTTCTTCTCCATGTCGAATTTCTCCAGTCATTTCAAAGAGTTTGTTAGCCATTTTCTCATAAACTTTGGCATTCCTTTTAGTTTGTTTCAATTCATCAAAAAATTCTTCCCAAACCAGCATTAAGCCTCTCATCTCTGCATCAGTCCAGTTCCTGGCCCTCCTGTGCTTCTCAGTCTGAGAGGAAACAATATAACTGGGAATTTCTGCAGCAGCCATTCCTGATTGACCTAAAAGGGTTTTAAAAGAGAACACTTAATATAGATTTCAGTTTTTAGTTGAGGATTTTGCAGTGCAAGGCTTGCATATGAAGCCACAGGATTTGAATGACAACAGAACACATGAAACCTCTTTGCAACAGCTTGAAGCTTGAGTGCACAAAATGGGGCCTACATCTGACAGGCAGGAATTTAGTTAAAAGCTTTTAAACAGAGAAACGTCATTTTGATGTCACGTTTCCATAGCAACAGAGCAACTGCATAAGCTACAACAACAAAAACCTTTTAACTGAAAGCCAAAGAATCAGGACAAAGTTGACAGGCCATCAATATTAAAGCTTTTAAACACTTTAGGTTTAACAAAAACAACAACAACAAAAGATCTATGCAGCCTTTGAGAAGCTACTTTTAAGTTTTTACTTGTTTTTAGATTTTTTCCCCTTACCTTTTAGGCAATCTGCTGCAAGCAGGGGGTCATGGCTGCCTGAATGAGCTTTTAAGTTGTGCCTTGACAGATTCACTAGGATGGGGGAAAGACATGTACACAAAAAAGACCCCTTTACAACAATTGTGCCTAAAAAGTCTCACACCTTTGTGGAAGCACATTTAGCATCTGAAGTATATAACAGCAGCACTGAAAACAGTTAAGCAGCTAAAATGGTGCCAGATTCCTATTTCAGGAACATGCACACAGATTTGTGTTTACATATGTGTGTGCAAGGGGGAGAGAGCCAGGGGCCGATTTGGGCTCCAAGATGCTTGTCTGCTGCTAAGCAAACCCATCCAGCAGCCCCGTCAGCATGAATTTGCCTTTTGTAGGTTCATATTACCACATATGTATTTGCAATCCGAACAATTTCAATGCTGTTTGGAGTCTTTTATTCAGCCGTGTGCTGCAGCCTCAGGACTGCAGCGGAGGCATTTTAAATCTGCCTTATGGTGAACCCATAAAGATTATTTACTGTGCAAAAGCAACTGGGAATGGGGAGAACGGCACGAGGATTAAAAACTCTAAATAAATTGCTGTTTTTATGTTGTAGTTTTATTCATATAGGAGGCTAGATCTTGCTCCCTGTTATAATAGCAACGCAGCATCTCATTTCCCAAAGCACCATTCCAGAGTCTGCGCTGTGGCAAACATGATGGACTCAGCTCTGCCTTTAAGGTCCAGGCACTTTATCCAGTGAAGCAATGCTGACGGCTAATGCACAGCGCATTAATTCTCTGTATTCGAAAGGAAACTACTGTTCACATTTTAAAAGATAGCAGTGGGAAGAAAAAAATGTGTGTGTGTGTTCATTTTTAAGACAGCAATACAGACCTCGGTGCTGGGCGTTTCCTAGAGATTAATGGCAAGCAGAAAATAATGTACTCCATAGGCTGTTGATCCCCAGGAAAGGTTCTCACGTGCTTTAGTCCACACTTAAGTATCCTATACACTAATTATATGCTCAATCTGAAGAAGCTGAAAAGCACAGGATCCTGAAGGAAGGGGAGGTCACAAAATGCCTTTTTCAAGGCACAGACCTCCTGTCCTGTTCTGTTCCTTGTTAATGGCATTTCCCCCTTCACTGTAGCGCTTTAATGTAAGGAAGTCGGAATTAGGATTCCCTAGAGAAAAAGGTTTAAATGCTGTTCGAATGAAGAACACAATGAACTTTATTGATGAGTCACAGGTTCCTATAGAAGAATCTGGCACTCAAAAGGCACCTTTGGAGCAGCTACTGTCAGTGGTCCTGTGCAGAACAACCCTTTCAAGGCTGGCAAAGTGCACCGTATGCTGGCGGTGGGGTGTGTGTGTGTGTGTGTGTGTGTGCATATCATGGAGACCCAGTTGGGAGGCGTCATGTGACCAGGTGACAGATGGCAGCCAAGAGGAGGATTAACTAGAAGCAGGGTCTCCTTTTCATTCTGTGTGCGCATTTCAGACTTTCCAAGCGTTGCCTCGGAAAGCACCAATGATAACATCCAAATTTAACTGTGGCTGGCTTGGAGAAAAGATTGGGAGCTTTTTTCCAGGCCACTGTTGTGTAGATCTATCCAAATAAGGCATGGGTTGGGAAGGATTTTTACCCACATCTTCTTGCAATTTAGCCAAAGGTATGTGAATGCCAGCATGTGTCTGACCCACAAATGTAAATATGCATTCCTCCCAAACTGCATGGGTTTGGATTCCTCCAGAATTGCAAAGTGGCTTACAGAAGAATATCTACGTATAGGCAGGACTTCTCAAAGTGTGGGCTGCAGACCACCAGTGGCCCATGAGCTTCATTCTACGAGACCGCCTCTCCTGGTATGCCCCGCGGAGGACCTTAAGGTCCACAAAAGACAACACTTTGGAGGTCCCAGGTCTCAAGGTGGTTAGATTGGTCTCAACTAGGGCCAGGGCCTTTTCAGTACTGGCCCCGACTTGGTGGAATGCTCTGTCACAAGAGACCAGGGCCCTGTGGGACTTGACATCTTTCCACAGGGCTTGCAAGACAGAGCTGTTCCTCCTGGCCTTTGGTTTGGACTCAGTCTGACCCTTATGTTTCCCTCCCCTTACCGTTTTGATCTATGGGCTACTAATAAAATGAGGCTGCATTTTAAATTGCAGTTTAACCTGTATTTTAAATTGGGTTTTTTTCCTATTATGCTTTTATTGTAATTTTACTGGTGTTTGCCACCCTGAGCCCGGTTCTGGCCGGGGAGGGCGGAGTATAAATAATAATAATAATAATAATAATAATAATAATAATAATAATTCTGATGGTCCATGATGGTGATTCTGCAGAGTGGTATAGCTACACCTGAGAGAAGAGCAGTGTGTGTGTGCGCACGCACGTGTGTGAAAAGCAGCTGGCACAACTGCCGCTTGTGTGGGAAGAATTATGGTTACAGCCGCTGCTCCGTTCTTATCCTGTGTGCCACTCAGCAGGTGAGCAGAACAAACTGGAAGTGGAAGCTGGTGGCAAGATGGGGGAAGCTCCCAAGCGAGGGAAAGGAGCACTTGAAAGGAGCAGAGAGTCAAAACATGTGGAAGAAGGAAGCCGTGAGAAAGACAGGAAGGAACTAAGAGCAAGTGCATGCGAAAGAAATGCTTTGGAATATTTCCTCATTTATTTCAGATAAACCATATGACTTTTTGCTGATTGGAGGACATGCTGATTTTTGCACGGCTAAAATCCGGTTTTCTACTAACTGGCAATAACAAAGTAAAGTTACTGAACGCTACATTCAAAGGCCTAGTTTGCACATTGCATTAAATAGAGCTGAAAACAAACTGTAGTGTGAATGAGTTCTCACTCCACTCCTTTATTGATGGTTCTGCGCTGCCAGGAAGCAAATGACATCTGAACCCGCATTTGTGGTTTCCCCCAAGCAAACCACAAGACCAGATTCAGACATCAAAACCCAGACTTGAGTCCTGGTGGTGTGGCAGGAGTGAGCTGTGTGGCAGCACTGTGAACTGGTACAATGTGCATTCACGTGAAACCACCACTTGTTTTCAACTATGGTTTATATGACAGTGCTGGTCCACTTGTTTATAAGTTATTTAGAGGACTAAGGAATATGATGGTTGAAATGGTTCCTACTCAGTGAAATATCTACACAAACAAATCACAGATAAATCAGAATTGTGAAAAGTAGGAGAGGTCTGGAATAAATATCTAGAGAGACCAATTATTTTCTTGCTATGTTTATATACTGCCTTGTGCCAATGAATCCAAGCTACAATCCAAGCTTCCCTGATTACAACAGGGAAAAGAGGATATGAAAACTTTAAACTAAATCCTGACAGGGAGAGAGACAATAGTACTAATAACAGGGGAACACCTGGTAATGGGGATACAGTGGTGCCTCGCAAGACGAAATTAATCCGTTCCGTGAGTCTCTTCGTCTTGCGGTTTTTTTCGTCTTGCGAAGCACGGCTATTAGCGGCTTAGCGGCTATTAACGGCTTAGGGGCTTAGCGGCTTTAAGAAAAAGGAAACAAACTCGCAGGAACTCGCAAGACGTTTCGTCTTGCGAAGCAAGCCCATAGGGAAATTTGTCTTGCGGAACGACTCAAAAAACGGAAAACCCTTTCGTCTAGCGAGTTTTTCGTCTTGCGAGGCATTCGTCTTGCGGGGCACCACTGTAATAGCTTCACTGATGCACCAGAAACTGAGATGGTACTCCAAAAACCTACTAAAGAGCAAGAAACTACAAGAAGGAAGCCACCGGAGGGAATGATTAATGGTTTCAGTTGTCTCGATACTAATATTCACATTAAAAATCACCGTTATAGTAAAGTCAAAAGAAAGAACAGATAAGGCAATTATACAATCAAAACAAATCACTTTAAAACAAAGCACACGATAGTCAATTAGGACAGAGAGCAAATAAGAAAGGTTTCTCAGAGCCCACGGTGCAATGTAGAAGTCCACATATTTGAAAGATCCGGGAAAATAAAAAGTTATTTGCCTGACACTGAAAAAACAGGCGAGCCCTTCTGGAGATAGCATTCCACAATCTGAAATGCCCCTTTCTCTCACAGCCACCTGCTGTATCTCAGTTGGCGGTGGGGGACATTTGGGGAAGAGCCTGGCACGGTGGTCTCAAGGATATTGATCCACAGTTATAACCCAGCATTTTCTATTCTGCATTATTTTCAAATCTGCTCTATTTGTTAATGGCCCATGTGGAATCTGTACATGTACGAGAGAGTGAAAGTTACAATGCCAAATGAAACCCATGACTAAATGTAGGTTTTGAATCTTGGTCTGATTCCTTTAATCAGGCACTGCCACCTCACTCTCAGGCCCCCAGTGCAGCCATTTTGTGACTTGTGCCCTTGACATTTTCACCAAGTTCCCAGTGTGCCCTTGTGGGCCAAGGCAGTAGTCAAGCAACATGTGAAAACAAATGAAGCTGGCAGACAGACACACAGGACAGAGTTGCTGGAGAATGAGGAGGAAAGGGAACTTGAAATCATAATCATTCCCATATGTGGTGGGAATGTAAGAAGGTAAAAACTTCTGGGAGATGATCTATAATGAGTTAAAGAAAATGCTGAAATATACTTTTGTTAAAAAACCAGAAGCTTTCTTGTTGGGAATACTGGATAATGAAATTAGTAAAAAAGATGTGAAATTAGTTTTGTATGCAGTAACAGCAGCCAGAATTTTGCTGGCACAGAAATGGAAACAGGAAGAGATGCCCACGAAAGAAGAATGGAGGATGAAACTGATGGAATACGCAGAAATGGACAGATTGACGGGGAGAATTAGGAACCAACGTGACCAGAGATTCTCCGAGGACTGGAAGAAATTTACAGAGTATATCAAAAATTTCTGTGATGAGCAAATAACGTTCGTTGGCTTTCAAGAAGCTCTGTGAAATTACTGTTAGAAATATTGTTTAAAAAATATGATGTGATTAAGAGTATTTGAGTGCAATATAATATTGGGATGGGGACGCGGGTGGCGCTGTGGGTAAAAGCCTCAGCGCCTTGGGCTTGCCGATTGAAAGGTTGGCGGTTCGAATCCCTGCGGCGGGGTGCGCTCCCGTTGCTCGGTCTCAGCGCCTGCCAACCTAGCAGTTCGAAAGCACCCCCGGGTGCAAGTAGATAAATAGGGACCGCTTACTAGCGGGAAGGTAAACGGCGTTTCTGTGTGCAGCTCTGGCTTGCCAGAGCAGCGATGTCACGCTGGCCACATGACCCGGAAGTGTCTCCAGACAGCGCTGGCCCCCGGCCTCTTGAGTGAGATGGTCGCACAACCCTAGAGTCTGTCAAGACTGGCCCGTACGGGCAGGGGTACCTTTACCTTTACCTTATAATACTGGGAAATGTGAGACGAGGATAAAAAATAAACGGAAAATTATCAGACAAGCTGAGGGAAGTTCTGGAAAAAAGGGTTTAAGTTAAAAATGGATGTATAATTTTGTAAAAATGCTTTTTTTATGGAAAATCTAATAAAAAATATTTATTAAAAAAAAGAAAGAAATCATAAGGAGAGTATTGCAGAGGATCCAGAAACCTACCACGGAAAACAGAAGTTGAGCTGAAAAGATCCATTGTCAATGAGATAGGAGGGCTGGAGAGAAACTGCTTAACTCCTATGTCCTGGCTTAAGCAGGGAAAGGGACTGTTTTGTTTTACCATGGTATTTTCATACCCTAGTTGCTCTTATGGGTAATTACAAAAATGGTTTTAAAATATGGGTGGGCTGGGAGGGATTGTCTAGAAATACAACTATAATAACTGTTTGCTGGTCATAACCATTATTTTTTTTAAAAAAGCACATTTCTTATTGGCTTAAACTTGGTCTGACGCCTTGATTTTCACCCCTCCTTATCAATTAAAATCAGCTGCCTGAGGCCTAAAGTTGCAGAGGTCATAGGGCTGTTTAGTGGAGTTAGCCAGGAAACAAAGACTTATTCTTGATGATGAAATGAGGACCACCGGAGGGGTTAAGTTAGCTGGTTTGCTTGCCTCCTTTTCATGCTGCAGCCCATGCCCTCAAACCCTTGCTTCCACCTAACAAGGTCATGTACAACATGATCAACCAGCAACATTTTTAAAACAATTTTAAAAACAGTTTACAGTACATAAAGTGGCAGATGGGGATACATGAACGAATAAATAAGATTTCAAAATGCCTACCAAAACAACAAAGCTTAAGAGATTTTGAAAACCCATCAAAGGAGTCACTGGATGGATCTCCTGGGGTGGATCCACTCTTGACCTTAAGGGATGGGCAGGTTCCTACCCCATAAGTGATGTAAGTTAAAAAGACCCATTAGACTGGAGAGCAAGAACACACTGCTGCCATCACCTCCCATATCCTGCCTGTACTACCACATTTGGCATGTCTGGGGCTCTGCCACCCACTCACCTGAGCATAAGAGGCACCAGATTCTGATGATGGGGTGTTCTCCAAGACTCTGTCTCCATTAGGGCTGCCATGCATCTGGACATTACCGGGATTTCAAAGGCAGAATTGACATCCAGGGGGAATTTCCCAAAGGCGGCGCTTTGTCCTGGATCTTAGGCAAGTCAGTCGAAGAATCGTGTTGCTCCACACCTTAGGGGTTTGTCTTAAAAAGGCTCAACAACTTTTAGGTTTTCCTTAAAAAGAACTCAACAATTTTAGGGTGTCCTGGTTTTTACTTTTTGAAATATGGCAACCCTAGACTCTCCATGCTGAGTTTCTCTGCACCTATTGCAAAACAAATTGGCAAGGCCATGAAGCTGGCAGCCCTCTGGTTAGTCATTTTGTCCATCTGCATAGGACAGTCTGTACATTGCCAGTCCTGCCAGGTGTACCTGCTGCAGAACTGCCTGTGGATGAGAGAGGCACAGAGAGAAGGCTGCAGCATTTTGGGGGTTGGAGAAACCCAGTACAAGCACACACCACAATTCCATCCTATGCAATCTCACACATTTCTATTTTAATTCTGAAATTACAATGTGACCCTTTCTTTGCATGTTTTGTTTAACACAACACCCAGTCTTAAACAGTTCGAAAAAGCTTGCTATTTTGAAACTATTTTGGTTGGTCCTTAAAAAGATCTTACCCTGTTTGAATTTTTTAAAAGAAATTGTAATGGAGTAAGGAAGCTGCACAAAGCCTTATTTTTCTGGCCTTTTTCATTTCAAAGTCATAATTATCTGTTACGTTTTTTAGGGCACAGGCCTGGATCTTTGGTGGAAAAACAATCAGATAGTGTAGCAGCTTAAATCTTCTAGCTACAGTAGTGCTAATAACAATATCACCAGAGTGAGGTCACATGATATATCTGGCAGCCTTTTCCTTAACTTACCACAGTCAGTCTTTACACTGAACCCATTTTCGTTCTGGATGCTTTTTAAAATCTACTTTCCTATTTAGTCAATTACCTGAAAGGCCTCGTCTGTTTTGAAAAGGTGACGGATTTATTTGTGTCCTGCAGCTTCTTTCTGTTCCCTCGCTCTCTCCAGCTGCCCAGTCTGATTTGTGTTGCAGCCAGACAGGGCCGTATGCTATGTATGTGTGTCTGCTAGACATCTACTTGCAAATATCTGGGGCCTCTAAATCCGACCAGCAGCCTTGGCTCCCGCTGCCCTAGGGGGCAATTATGGTGCTTTGTCTCACCCACAAGCTGTCCCTTCTGCTTGCCTGTGCATCAGCCATAAGGCACTCTGGGACTGGTAGTTCTTCACAGAGTATGTCACATAGTCAATAAGGTCTGTACCAGCAGTTGGCGTTTCCAGGAGACTGGAGAAGAAACTGACCATCATTGCCCCCCCCCCCGCCACCTCAAATTTGCCTTTTGCTGCCATCAGCCTCCTCTCGAGTAAGCCTATGGCAGGGGTAGGCAACCTAGGGGCCGGCCCGCGGACAGTCTGGGAATCAGCGTGTTTTTACATGAGTAGAATGTGTCCTTTTATTTAAAATGCATCTCTGGGTTACTTGTGGGGCATAGGAATTCATTCATTCCCCCCCCCAAAGTATAGTCCGGCCCACGACATGGTCTGAGGGACAGTGGACCAGCCCAAGGCTGAAAAAGGTTGCTGACCCCTGGCCTATGGGAACCAGCTGTATGCCACCTCCACCTCCTCTCAGAACTGTATACAGTGGTGCCTCGCAAGACGAAAAGAATCCGTTCCGCGATTCTTTTCTTCTAGCGGTTTTTTCGTCTTGCGAAGCAACCCCATTGGCGGCTAAGCGGATTAGTGCTATTAGAGATTTAGCGCTATTAGCGGCTTAGCGGGCTTAGCGGCTAAGCTGTTAAAAGGCTATTAACAGCTTAGCCGCTTTGAAAAAGGGGGGGGGGGAAGCGGGGGAAAAATGGCGAGACTCGCAAGACGTTTTCGTCTTGCGAAGCAAGCCCATAGGGAACTTCGTCTTGCGAAGCACCTCCGCGACGGAAAACCCTTTCGTCTTGCGGGTTTTTCGTCTTGCGAGGCATTCGTCTTGCGGGGCACCACTGTATAAGCCAGGCTCCTTAGCAGTGCCAGAAACATGGTTGTTGGTTAACTCTTGTTCTGCTACATATTTATGCCTAGATGTTTTGTTTTGCTGAATTTATTCTGGTGTTTGCCAGACTGTTTATTTCCATCATTTTTGAATTTACTGGCATGGCCTGTATTTTGTATATTTGTATTTCCAGTGCTCTGTATTTGGATGTTTTTGAGTGTTTGCTGTAAGCTGCTTTGGGCAAAGCTCGTTGTGGAAAAGTGACATATATGTAAACTCAGTCAAACTCAATAAATCACATAGGAAAGCACAAATCTCTCTCTCTCCCTCTGTTCTGGTTTAACTACAGACCCAACACCCCATTCTGGGGCAGGGTGGAGCAGCAACTCACTGATCAAAATGTTGCTTGTTCTGCTGTAACACAGCTGCAGATTGGCTCCAACGTATGTCATAATCTTTGGATACAGGTGCCTACTGTAGATATACAATATGGGCTCTGCAGTTTATTTATACTGCAATTTATCTCTTCCCCGTGGCAATGAGGCTGCAGCCCCCTGGATCTTCTGGCCCCAATAAGCATCAGACCCTGCCTGGCTCACATGTCTGGGCTCTGCATGGAAAGAGAGTAATGAGTCGGTGTTAGGGATGGGACCTCCCAATAATTCTTGTGTTGCCCTTGACTCCCCACCCCTTTGTGAGGGAAGACGAGGCTGTAGTGACTGAGCCGATACAGTTCTTAATCCTTCACCCCATGTTATGTACTAACCTTGGGTCCTAGAACAATAGGCAAGTAGGATCCTAGAATGCAACAACTGATTGGCTTGCAGGAGAAGACCAATCAGGCTCCAGGAAGAAGTTAAGTTTAGCCTATCAGGCTGGTAGGATCGTAGAATGCAACAACTGATTGGCCTGCAGGAAAAGACCAATCAGGCTCCAGGAAGGAAGCAGAATCAGCCAATCAGATGGGACTCATTGTGTAAATAATGTATATAAAAGCCTGAGGTTTGGGGGGGCAATTCAACCACTGTTTTACAAGCTGCAATAAAGAGCATGAAATCACTACTGGACTCCGCATATATTTCACCCCAACAGACCACGAACTATAGCAAATAATTGTTGTTTTACAGATTGCGTTTTTTGGGGAGCACAATAAACCATGATCCCTGGCTTGGCTGTTAAGTCCGTGATTAGCGGGAAGGAGACAAACAGGAGAGATGAGTTCACATTTAACCATGGTTTACTGAGGCATGAACTGGGTGAGAGTGGCTTAATCTCAAAACAGAAATGTAGCAGAGTGTTATTACTGTATATTAATAAATCAAGTGACTCCATGGCAAAGATCTCAAAACACGTGATCATAAGAGGAAGTGACCCAAGCCACAAATAGCAACTGAAGACACGATACAGACATTGTGTGCAAAAGGTGTAAATCATTCATAATTGCTTAGAGCAGGCATAGGCAAACTTGGCCCTCCAGGTGTTTTGGGACTACAACTCTCATCACCCCTAGGTAACAGGACCAGTGGTCAGGGATGATGGGAATTGTAGTCTCAAAACATCTGGAGGTCCGAGCATCCTTCCCAAACTCGGTGCCATCCAGACTACAATTCCCACCAGACCCAGCCTTGTAAGGCTATGAGGGACATTGTATGGATAAATAGGAAGATGGGAGGAAGGCAGTCATCTTTCTCTTTGTACAGTTCTCCAGGAAGAGGCTGCATTCCCAGCAAGCAGGAAACCAGCAGTTCCCATGCCTTTAGTGGACCTATTCTGCAAGTGATAATTAGTGGGATGTTTTTAATCAAAATCTGAGTTGAAGAGAAATGGATCCAGAGTTTCTGCAGTAGTAGAGGTTGGGGAAACTCAGTCAGATGGGCGGGGTATAAATAATAAATTATTGTTGTTGTTATCAAGGTATGGTGAACTAGCTTGAGAGGGCTGCTAGGTTGCAATGCCAGCCACTCCCCAGGGGGTAAGGGTGGCAATGTTTATAAATGATCTTTTAACATTAACAAGTACTGAGTAATTTACAATTTTCAAAAACAAGATAAAGAATGAGAAGGGGATTTTACATCAAGTTTCATGGAATCTCAATTCTATGGGTCATCAGGAAATATCTCATGTACATCCTGTGCTATTTTTCTATAAAAAAAACAGAGGTGCTGAAACTCACCCCTTGTCTTCTTATAACAGCAATGGCGCCTGGTGAATTCTGTTGAATTCCGGCTGAAAAAAAGCCCTGTGTGTATCTCTCATTTTCTTGTTCTGGAAGCAAGAGGTGCAAAAGTATAGGCAAGTGGCTTGCTGATGCTGCTTCCACTGGTCTCTGAACTTTATGCTTTCTTATTATCCCCAGGGTTCCTGCAGGCACAGACAGAATACCGTATTTTTCACCCTATAGGACGCACTTTTCCCCCTCCAAAAATGAAGGGGAAATGTGTGTGCGTCCTATGGGGCAAATGCAGGCTTTCGCTGAAGCCTGGAGAGCGAGAGGGGTCAGTGCGCACCGACCCCTCTGCTCTCCAGGCTTCGCGGACCTCTCCGCAAGCAGCAGGAGCGCTCCCGCTGCTTGCGGAGAGTTGGCTGCATGCTGAAGCCTGCACGCGCCGAGCTCAGCGCGTCCAGGCTTCGCGGACCTCTCAGCAAGCAGCGGGAGCCAACGCTGGGCTCCCACGGCTTGCAGAGAGCTGCCTGTTTGGGGGCTGGGGACGGGGGAAGCTCGGGCCTGGGGGGAAAATAATTTCCCCCCCTTTATTTCCCCCCAAAAAAACTAGGTGCGCCTTATGGGACGGTGCATCCTATAGGGCGAAAAATACGGTATATGTCAGCAAGGAGGGGGACTCCAGCATGCTTGCTACTGTCTATTTCTGAGACTCTGGTTAGAATTAATTTGCAAGAAAGCTTCCGCAGCAAATCTCAATCTCATCTGGAGAATTTCATAAGTAGGGAGGAGGCAAAGTTATCATCACATGGTCTTTAAACAGACATTGTTTATGTATCCATCTAGAACAGGTGAATTAAATACTTCATAGCTTATAGAAGCATCTTGAGTGCATTCTTCTGTTCTTGAATGAACAGTCTCACCATCACCACGCAAAACAAAGTTATGCATATGGCACTCCTATCACTGCTACTTACAAAATATATTGTGCCCACATCTTATCAACATATATTTTCAGATACACACACACACACACACACACACAGTAATATTTTACAGAATATGAGCCATTAAACTCTGTATTGGCAATTATAAATGTGTAGAATTTTTTCTAAAACAGTAGCCTAACAGAAGTACTCACTAGGATCAACTCTGCTGGGGGGAGAAGTCTTTCTATTGTTAACTGTTTTTGCCAAAATGAAAACAAGAAAAAACAACATGTGGATAAATTGCTTTTTAATCAAATTATGTTCAGATGCAATAATGCTTTAAGATGTTTAAGAACAGGAAACAGTTTAAATCCATCAGTTTAATAAATACAAATATACACATGTATACATCAAATGCAGTCACATGTATAATTTTACATATATTATATACACAAAAGCACAGTCCACATTCCTCCTGATAAAACTATTGTTTTGTTGGTGAAAATGTTGAGATGAATAAAAATACAGCATAATAGAAAATCAAAATATTGAACTTTCCCCACCCTGTATTTCCATATGTGAAGTCAATGTTCTTTCCCTAGAAATACTATTTATGGGGAATTTTAAGATGAATTACAATTTATGCTATACATCTGTATGTACCGGCAAAGTGCTGAGCCATAGAATAATGCTTGCATATTCATCAAATATTTGAGCCAGCTCCAGAGAAATCATAATTAGACCTTGTTCTTAATCTGCATACAGAGTACATGGACTGCATTTTTTTTTTCAATCAAAAGACTTATCTAAAAACATCTGATGATTTGCTGCTTACCAGGAAAAAAATTTGCTTTCCTAAAAATATTTTGCTCTAAAGAAGGAGTGGCTAATTTATTTCCCCCATTCACTGGTTCAAAGTAAACCAAAAGCATCTGCAG